TGTGCAAAAGAAGTATTTTGCATGTATATTTAGTGTGGATACAAATGTAAATCTATCTTTTGCCTGTTTGCATTATAATACCCTTTCATGAATCTCACTATATTGGCTACCGGCATATATTATGTTATCTATATACTAGATATATTGCCATATGCTATATAATCTTTGTAGCTACGAGATACATGTTTGCTCAACTCAGCTAATGGGATATTCAAATTTAGAGTTGAGCCATCACAAAAACACTATCATTAGTCAAGACTGAATTTCTATTTATATAAATTGATAACTTGTAGATCAGGTAAAATTTGGTACATATAGTACAGTGTAAGCCTAGTTATTCTATCTGACTAATGGATTAATCTAGTATAATAAAGGCACAAAACAAAAATTATTCAGGGAAAGTTCTCAGGCACTATCTCTTAAGTATTTATAGATTTATAATTCATAGTGCTCAAAACATACACTGGGAATTAAATTTTATGCTAGATCTAGTTCAATAATTATTTAACAACTAAATTTAATGTATACTTGATATAAAAAATTCTTACAAAATGGGAGACTTTGGGATACGTCCAAGGATACTTTGGGATTAACAAATTATCACAGAAAATAAAATCATCCCAAATTTGTGACAACAATTTAATTAAAAATATTGTAGAACTATAAGTGTGCTGCCAAAAATGCAATTGCCTAAATTTTAATAAAAACTAATGGGCTGCAGCAATGCACATACTTCCTTTAAGGAATGTGTCTTCAATGCAGAAACATTTTTGGTGACTACAGAGACGTGAAGAGGGATTAACTCCCTGCAGAGATACTAGGATATTTCAAAAAGGATGTGAATGAAAAGAAAAACGATGCAGTGGAGATTTTTCTTCATTACTTTCCAGCCCACTGAAGTGAACATACAATGAGGGAGGTCTATGGACATTGATTTCAGATTTAAGGAAGTATACAGCTAACAGCATTTTAAGTGTATCCATTTTCAGTTAGTTCAAACAAAATTACAAATGAAGAATGTAATAAAGTAGTTTTTGTAGGCTAAAAGTGATCATTTAGATTGAAAAATGTTTCTTTCCATCAAAAGTAAAGGTGTGTAAGTTTCTCTCTCTCTCTCTCTCTCTCTCTCTCACACACACACACACACACACACACACACACAAACACACACACAGAGGAGAAAGAGAGAGAGCACTTTTGGCTGCTTTATCCTTTGTAGACATTTTACAAACTGTAATCTGTGTTCCTTTCAGCATGGTAATCTTTAGCAATTTTGTTTTTCAAAGAGTCTTTTTTTTTATCCTAAAAAGGTACTTGCCATAAAGTTTCAGAAAATAAAGATCATAACCAACCTTTTAAAAGTCTTGAAAATCAGCACACAATCTGGGTGCAAAAATAAAAAGATATTAACTAACTAAACTATGCAATGCTTTCTATAATATATACTTTATATACAAAAAATCAATTTAAACAATAATTAATATATGCCAGCATGATAAATTTAACCCTGAATTTTTAAGGCCTTTTCCTTTTTAGAAAGAAAAGAGCTTAGCTGCATATTATAGCAAGAAATGGTTAAGCTAGCTAAGATTAAATATATTACTCAAGATAACATGCTTAGTTCTAATAACAGTAATGTTTTACTACTTTATAACAACCATTTTCAAATGAAAAAGTTATGCTCTATACTTTATTGTTATGCGTAATTTACTATAATGTTGATGTACAGCAGTACAATTTGAAATATAAATCTACAAGATAGGAACAGTTTTATGAAAGGAAATGTTTATTGGGTTTTGTATTTGGGGTTCTATTTTTGTAAGCCACCCAAGTCACTGAATGACCTGGACGGTCATATAAATTTTCTAAACAAATAAATGTCTATGGATATTCTCAGTCATCCAGGTCATGGTTGTCTCAAAAGTGCTTTTTCAAGAGGCAACTGGATTTTTTTGTTTTTCTTTGAAGATATTTCACTTCTCATCCAAGAAGCTTGAGGACACAGATAAGCTGCCAAATGGCCTCAACGACTCTCTAAAAGAATGCAAATGACCAACTGTCTGCAAGGAATATAAATCCTTTCATTCCCCACCATCCAGTCGGAGCTGAAGAAGCTTCTTGGATGAGAAGTGAAACGTCTTCAAAGAAAAACAAGAAAGTTCAGTTCCCTCCTAAAAAAGCACCTTTGAGATAAATAAATAAATGTTTATACGAATGAGAAATGCATCATGATAAAATATATGTTATCTTGATGGGGATAACTAGTTAGTAATATAATCCACTCTTTTTATGCCACTCTATGATCATTTTGAACATATATTTCTATTTTCTGTTTATTTCTTTTAATTACTTTGGTTCAGATTGATTATTGGAAATAACATACCTTCAAATCATATCTTATGAGTTTTGTTGCTCTTCAATAAATTAACCACTTAAATCAGGGGTAGTCAACCTTGGCTCTTTTATGACTTGTGGACTTCAACTCCCAGAATTCCTGAGCCAGCTTAGGTTTATGCAACTTAGCTTTAGCTGTCTCAGGAATTCTGGGAGTTGAAGTCCATGAGTCATAAAAAAGCCAAGGTTGACTAGCCCTGACTTAAATCAACAGCAGGGGGAACTGAGATTTAGATGTAGTATATCATAAACAACAAAAGTAATGCTAAGAAAAGAACAAGGGGAAGGAACTCATTAGCTTAAGGTTGATTGCAGTTAGTTTCCACTGCAATGAACCATATTTTTTGTAATTCTATTCACATCGATATTTTTTTTTCTGGAGTTTGCTTTTTTTCTTGGCATCTTTGGAAAGTGAGACTCTTAACATGGACAATCCTTGCACAGCATAACAGAATTGTCTACATATGAAAGGAAGGTATTAGGGTTAGGATAAGATCATCAAAGCTTTGCAGAAATACAAGGAGGAGGAGGAGGAGCAACAACAGAGGAATTTAAAGAGCTCAGCAAGAATGGAATATTTGAGTGTTATAAACTTCCAAGTTGTTAGTATTGGAGCCAGAAAACTAAATAGGAGGAGAGTAAAGTTTAAAATGAAACATTATAGAAGAGTGAGTCCTGTCAGAATTATCCTTAATCTCATCCCTTGCCTTTTCCAGCTCACTTTCTCTGTTTGCAGAGAAGTAAGGAGGTGTCCAGGGGAGCTATCAAAAGAATAAACATGAGGAAAGACCAATTCTATTGAAGCAGCATCTGCTACCTCTTACTATCTTCCCATTTGGGGCAAAAAGGTAAACAGTTCAACACTCTCTAGGGAAAGCAGAGAAGCTGCTGATTTGTTTGACATATCACTTAAGCCATTAGGGGTTTTTGACACTCTGGTTTATAGAATATACTTTATTGCTTAAGGGAGTAATCCCAACTTTTCCCTTTGTGTGGAGCACTACACTGCCACTGAAAGTTTTTGCACACCATCACATAACCTAGAGCTGGTAGCACAGCACCTGGAGATACAATGGCAAACATGATTCCTTAGAGACAAAATAATAGGCTGCCATTTAGAGAAGAAAAATGTGTTTCCTGTATCTTGTCAAGTCCCTTTGTACTTCCTCTTTATATAACACAGGTGCTTTCTAATGCTTTCACAATTTTAATACATGGAAATGCTGATTTTTTTTCCATGACTGAATAATGATAAGCTGTATTCCAACTAGGATGTTGCTGTAAACCTTTGTTTCCTTGATGCTTTTAGCAACATATCCAAAGTTTCAGATTTCAACAATATTCAAATTTCTATTCTATTTTCCAGTTAATGATAGAAACACTTGGTTTATGCAAAATTATGAAACTCAGAATATTTGGCAATTTTGTCACATTTCCAGAACTGAAACACATTAATTCAGTGTAAGTTATTTGACTCATGAATCATCTAAACAAACTTTTCACTACACTATTAACAGCAAGCATTTTATAACACTTTCTACAATTGTCTCTCCAGATTCTTGTCTTCATAATATTTTAAAGCAGAGGAGTTCTTCCTCATTGAAACTCTAACATTCAAAATTGTTTGCAAAAAATAAAAAAGTTCTCATTGAGTAAAGAAAACCAGATTATAAACCAAGATCTGGTTTATAAGATGTATATCCTCACTAAGCCTAATCCTCACTCTAAGTCATTTTGGTTGAGAATGACCAGTCACATCTAAGGTAAGTAATGCATGCTGAGAAACTGACCCCAGCAGCAGGGACAGCCTCAATTTTCAACTTTCGGGATACCCTGAATCTCTAACTAGCCTGCCAGATTTTACTCTCCTGCATTATTCATTCAGATTACAACTGGAAGCATGGAGGTCTTTTAGTCCAACCCCCTGCTTAAACAGGAGACTTATACATTTTCAGAGAAGTGGTTGTCCAGTCTCTTCTTAAAAACATCCAGCGATGAAGCATCCACAACTTCTGAAGGCAAGCTGTTCTACTGGTTAACTGTTCTCACTGTTTGGAAGTTTAACCTGGAATGAAGAAATTTCCTAACAGTGAGAACAATGAACCAGCGGAACAGATTCCCTTCAGTTGTGGGTGTGCTTCATCACTGGAGGTTTTTAAGAAGAGACTGAACAGCCAGTGTACATCCCAACCAGCTGGTTAGTATATGGATCCACTGTGTCATGTGAATCTACACATGTGAATAAACCATGACTATGCTCATTAAAGATAAGCATGAGGTGTGAGAACAGCTCCGTCTCCATCCGAGCATAAAGGCACCCTCCTGGAAGACTAGAAAATCACCAAAAGCACGCTGCTGGGATCCCTTATGGTGAAGTCATTCCTTCTCCCAGCTACACTTTATTTATGTGAACGGATTCTATTGCTGGACAGTGAAGGTCATGTCTCTCCCAAGGTAAATTTCATTAAAGTCAAGAAGCTCGCTCTAAGCACCGCATCTCTGCCCGCTGGCTGAACCGACGCGGCTCGGTTCGCTGATAGAGGATTTCGCGAGACTTTGGAAATCTCGGGACAAAGGAGGAGAGCGTTCACGTTTCCTAGCGACGGTCGTGGGGGGGGGGGTATCATGGCGCGCCGGGAAACTTACACGGGGAAGGGACGGCAATCGGAGCCGGATCGACGGTTTTCTATCATGGATCTCAAACAGCAGGCTGCAGAGTATTACCGGAGCAATGAAATACCGCAGCGCTTGGAGGAAGTACTCAACACCATGTTCTACCAGCGTCCCGGGGATCTCTACGGTTATCTGGTAAGCTGGACAGCGGCACCAAATTCAGCGCCTGGGCTGTTGCACGGATCAAACTGCGCAGGCGCAACTAAAGGGAGTTGCTCAGGGGTGGCCGGGGGTTCTTTGGGGACGTTAGGCGAACTGACTTTGTGTGTTTCCTCAACCTCAGTAACTTAAGAGGTCTGGACTTTTCCCAGAATTCCCCAGGTAGAATGCTGGCTGGGAAATTCTGAGAGTTTGAAGGCCAGGTCACTTAAACTTGCTGAGGTTGAGAAATACTGAACTAGTGAATTAGCTAACCGCCTGGATTTTATGGGATTCTTAGCACTTCCTGGAAACGAAATAACTCATTGGTTTTGTCACACTTCTATGATTTAAGGCAGGCATGTCCAACCCCCGCGCAGGGGCCTCATGCAATCCTGGACAACTACTAATGCAGCCCCACAAGATGGTTAAAAAATAAAACAAGTTTGTTATTTATATATATTAACTATGTTATATATTTTACATGCATCCCAAGACACTGCCTCTTCACCCAGTATGGCTAAGACAAGCCAAAACGTTGGACATACATGATTTAATGTCATAGTAATACATTTATTACAATGTAAGTTCAGATATAATACAGAGAATTAAATAGAGAGCCATCTTGATGTTCTCTATTTGAAGGCAGCCTAAACTAATGAATGTGAAATCTTTAGCTTTCCTAATCTGGCGCCCTCTTTATGTGTTTGGACTGCTTTAGAACAGAGGTCCCTAACGTTTTGGTTACCAGGAACTGGTTATATGGAGAGAGGTTTTTCCAGAGACTGGAGAGTGTGTGGTTTTCTGTGTTGCCTGCATCCTGTGGATGGGGCTTTCCCTGTTTGTGCAGACCAGTTGCTGGCATACCGCGGCCTGGTACTGGTCCACAGACTGGGGGTTGGGAACCCCGGCTTTAGAAGACATAGTATTTTTGTTGAAAGAGATAATATTCTAGGGCTTCAAATTTGTGATGGGGTGAAGATCAGATTTTTTGTTTTGTGTTATAACTCAGCTATAATCTTTTTTTTTAACTGTTATCTTCTTTCACTGTAGCATAATAAAGCATAATTACGCACTAAACTTTTTGATTCTTATTGCCAGAAAAAAACATCTTTAAACTATTTGTCTTTTACCTCTCCAAACTAAGATATGAATTCTTTTTTTCTGTACACTGTGTATTCACCCACAGTAACCTATATTGTTAAACTGAGGAGAAATGAAACCTATACCAGAATAAACTGCTGCTCTATGTGCATCATTAAGGAAGAAGTATATTAGAATCATCTTTTATATAATAAACTAACTTTAGATGGAACAACAGAAGCATCAAAACAAACAACAAGTATTCCTCTAGACATCTAGGTATTGTTCAATGGCTGCTCTTACTTGAGCATGTTCATCTACTTGCTGGGAAATGCTGCTTTTTTTCTGCATCTCACCAATGAAAACAAAATTATGATTGATGTACCACAATTGCATACCAAAGAGCACTTTTCTACCCATTGACACATTACTCAAGACTCTTTTATTATGTATTATAATGTCTTCTACTGATTGAAAACTAGAGAAGATATTAGCTCTTTTAGTGCTATGATGATGAAGTAAACAGCTATAGCCACTTGCAAACTGCTATGCAAACCATGCTATGAAGATTGCCTGATCCTACCACTGCTGTATTTCAGTCCAGTAATACTGAACCTAAAGGTAATCAAATGTTCTGCTATCTTGTTTTCTCTGGCCTTTTTTAAAATTCTTGAGAATTGAAAAGAGGAAAATTTATCTATGCTAGCATATGTCAGAAGAGCCATCAGATCCACGGTGTGGCTGGAATCCTGTGTGGGTGGCCTCAACACTACCATTTCCTTCCTTTCTTTCTTCTTTTCCAACATCAAAAGAAGCAGACCTGGAAGCTAGCACATTGGTGATCATGATAAAACAATACTAATGTTAGATATCCTCATCCAAGATTGTGGTTATCTTCTAGACCCTGGACTTCCAATCCAAATGGTACACTATGGTCTTTCTAGGATGCTTTCTGGAGGCTTATATTTATTTATATAAAACACTGCTATTATAAACTGTGCCTTGACAGCTCTCGGGTTGGTTTGTATCATCCAGGCACATCTTTTAAGTTTTTCCATGCCCTCCAAAAAGAGAGATTAAGAAGTAAAAAAACACAGGTATAAGTACCTAAGTGAGCAAGCTTTTTTCAATTCTGCAACGTTTTTCTGAAAAGACTTTCATTAGACTTAAAGAGTTCATCTTTAAGTCTAATGAAAAAGAACTGGCAGTTACCATAATGGTGTTGAAATCAAAAAAGAAATCAATAGAAGGAAAAGAGCCATTAGGTCTAAAAGAACTGAAGGTAAAGAAACAGCTAAAGAAACACCAAATGAAAGAAAAAAGGACAGGAATAAAAGGGAGTAAGAAAAAACATATCCTAAAGAAAATATTGATAGTTAAAATCTGAAGCCAGTGTGTAATCTGCTGGGTGCCCAAAGCAGACTGGTTTCCTGCATCATTAAATAGTTTGCCAGAAAAGAAAACAAGAGAGTAACAGTTTGACAGGTCTCAAGTGACATTAGGAGCCAACCACCATTAAAACAGGTTCTTTGTCTGCTATCTTAAACAATGTGGAAGTAAATCCTTTCTCTAGGCCTTAGTACATTGGTCCTTCCAGCTTTGTATATCTCCAAATTCCTCTCTCTTCTTCGCCTTCTGCCTGCCATGTACTTCAGCTGCTCTTCCAACATGTCCTGCATCAACAGCAGTGCCTGGCCTCTCCTGCTATTCTCTTCTCCTCAAGCAGCACTGCCAGACCACATCCTTGTATTGCAAAGCACCTTTCTCTCCAGTAATGACTTACTTGGTAATAACATCTTGGTGGGCAAAGGGTGTTCTGGCACCAGTATATCCCTAACTCAGGCTTGCACTTCCTATGATCATTGGGGTCTTCCATGCTAAGTTCTATCTTCAATAGTGGGATGGCTTAGAGCAGAACAGAAGAATGACAAGAAAATAGATGTGGGGGACCTAAACCAGTAAGGATTGTGATGACTTGGTTATGGACTCTTGATTGTAGAACCAGTGCCTCAGTGGCTGTGGATGAGCTTGCAAGTGAGGTTTTTTATAAGATTAGGAGTGGGGGGGGGCACTACTTTAAAGTGATTCTGCTTCCTCCATGGCTGGGACCAGTTGGTGTTGGTGATAGGGAGAGGTGCACTTAGGCCTCTCTTTTTTTTATTGAAAAGTTTTACAAAAAATTACAAAATATACCCCAAACCTGGAGCCTGGATGGGGAGCAACAAGCTTTGACTGGACCAAAGCCATTTTTAGTGATTGTGCTTTCCAGTCAAAGTTGACTCCTGGCAACTGTCTGAACAAGACCTTGCATTTTTCTTGGCAAGATTTTGGAAGTAGTTTGCCATTGCCTGCTTTCTAGGTCTGACAGAGTGACTGGCCCAGTTGTCACCCAGTTGTCTTTGGCCCTAAGATGGGACTAATCTCTCAGTTCCTAGGCTGGTGCCTTAACTACTTCACCAAACTAATTCTCTCACAAGTTGAATAGGTTTGGATTTCCCACCCTAGTGGGCTGAGGCCTCTGGTGAGTTGTCAGCCTTGATACTCAGTGGGATAATACTCCAGCAGACACAGTTGGTGCACAATTTGGGGTCCTCCTGGATTCACAACTCCTGGTAAAGCAGGAGATGGCAGCTGGAGTTGGGGGAGGCCTCCTTTGTATAGGTTAAGCTTCTGTTCCAATTGTGACCTTTCCTAGACTGGGAAACCTTGTTCACTGACACTTTAGTTATCTTTTAGTTGGATTACTGCAGTGTGATCTACATTGTTCTGTTCTTGAAAACAATCTGGTCTAGTTTGTCCAACATACAGCAGCTTGTACAGTTCTGAGCTATTCATATTTTGCCTTTGTACACTACTGATATATGAGCTGCATTAGTTTCCAGTTGGTTTCTGGATACAGTTCAAAGTTCTGGCTATTATCTTTAAAATTATAAATTGTTTGGGTCAAGGTCACTTGCAGGATCATCTTTGCCTGAGGGTATCTATCTGTTCTAAAATCTCCCTTACCTTAATTGTTGCCATTCTATGGGATTTCAGATACATACCTTTTTTGTGGCTGCACCAGAAAGATGTTCAGAGTATGATGCTGTGATTACCTGATGGTTCATCATAAGGAATCGATCTGAAGGACTCAGCAGATAGAAACAAGGTTACGCATGCTAATCAAACACAGAAACTTAGCTTGAGTATATTAGGTAGGCTGTACTTCACAGCATACTGACTGAAAAGAATCCAGATAATCTGCTTCAACTAGCATGCTACCATCATACACCATTCATGATTTTTCCTCCAATCTATGACTACAAGAATTAGTAACTAAATGAACCACCTAATACATTTAAGGTACAAAATAAATTGTAATTGTATCTTTGAAAGCCTATGAATTGCACTAATTATTGGTCTTCTAGGCAAACTTCTTCTCTGAATTATCAAAACCTCCAGTGATATGCAAATTAGATGCTAAAAGTGTGCTGGATGGAACTGGTCGACCAACATTAGAAGTTGAAGTTTTTTGCCGAGTTAGGGACTGTGAAAAGGTATGAGTTGGGTTGCAGTTAATTCTGTGTTTGTTTATACAATTTTAAGGGTGACCAACTCCACCAGAACTCTATGCAGCTTGTAATTAAACCATTAAAAGGAAAACATATATCAAAGAAAAACAATACAACTGATTAGTAGATAGAATCAAAAAGCAAAGGGGCTGAGCCACCAGGTTGGGTAGTTGAGATTCCATGACAGGTATTTGAGAAGCCATTGTCCCTAATGGAGTGCATTTATCCCTTTAATACCAAGGTTTGGTTTTCTAGACAAAATAAAAGGACTTTATTTAATTTCTAAATAACAGCTAAAGCTATTCAGATTGTGCTATGGTGATAGGAAAGAATAAAATCTTTTTTTGCTTCCTGATGTGATTTTCATGGATTTTCTCCATGTCATTCATTACGAGGAAAACTTCTGATCTAGCTTGATTATTAATTGGACAAGAAAAGGATATAGCAGGTTAGACTATTACCTCCTGTTCAGTATGGTCTTACCTCCATCTTAACTCTACCAGCCCTGTATGGTGGTTGTTTAAAAAAATAGACCATTTAAATGCATGCTTGCTGGTACGCGGTCTCTGTGCATGACGTTTTGATTTCCTGTAGCATACAGTTCAATAAGTTTAAGGCCTAGTTGAAATTCTCTTTTCTTCTTTTGCAACAGTCCTTTTATATTATTTTATAAAGCCATCTAATATGGTGGAAGAATAACAAAAAATTAGTCAAGTTTTTTATTTGAAAACATATTTCATTCCATCACGTTAGATATGCATTGCTTAGTTCATTGCACATACCAATTAGTTAGAAGGATTAAGATTATCTTGAATTTTTCGTTCACTTCTTGAAAAATGATATTAAGATAATTAAGGGGAACATTATAAAATATATTCTCAGAGCATTCATGAATCAAAACTTCACATAAAACTCCTGTTTGTGTTAAAAAGAACTATATTAAAACTATATAGAATAACTACGAGTTGAATAAAAAGCTTTGAACAAAATTCTACTGAAGAATTACAATCTATAAATTACCTTGGATAAATACTTGAAGTGAGATAGGTTTATGATATTTGTCAGTGGAAGTATCTGGAAAAACTATACATCAATTATAAAAAAAGCTTTTAGTAGAAAGTAATTTCAATGTCATGTTTACTATGTGAAATTTCAATAATAACCATCTTTAAATATTGTTACACAGATTATTTGTTCCAGCATGATCTCATGTCATGCTGAAATTCTTGAAAATGCTTCAGCAGAAGCAATTGATGCGGATGAAAAGGAAAGATACGAATCATTGAATATGGCAATTGAATGGATAAATGAATCCCTGAATGAAATGCTCAGAGGCCTTCAGCCTAGTGACCAACAAAACATTGATGCGTTATTAGGGTAAGTGTCTCCTATTTATTTATTTGCTATGATTTTTTTTTAAATTTTATTTAAAATTCCATTATGTTCTAATTCAGCATTTGCACACAATATACTTACAAACTTGAAGCAGTGTTCTTTAATGGTTATTAGGACATTTTGTTACATAATTCAGTTGTCTACTAGTCAATAAATCTTGCTATCGTAAGTTCTCATTATCTAAGAAGTTCCATCCAGTAATAGCAATGCAGAATGTATAAAATAGATCAGTGATATAGGTGCCAAGAATAAGAAGGGAGGATGGCAGCAATATAAGTGGCTAGATTTCAGGGGCTGCAGTAATGCAAGAGAATACAACCCAATGCCCTCCATGGATTTGGGAATATAACACTATTATCTGTCACTGGACTTGCTAATTGGGGCCCATGAGAAATATACATCAAAACAGGCATACTCTGCCTATATGAATTTTATTTAAAAAATCACATTAGTAAAAGCTAAATATGAAAAAAATATAAAGAAAAGTTAGAAAGAAAGAAAAAAGATAACAGAAAAGTGTAAAAAGCAATTGAAGTAGAAAAAAAAAAGAAAATTGAACAAGCAACTTCCAATCTTCTCTACAGTAATTATAAACAAACTTATTATCCATCCTCCTCCTTTCATTACAAGGTTCCCTTCTATCCCAGCTGCCAAAAAAGCCAATGCAGTCCTAGGCTGCATTAACAGAGGGATAGAATCAAGATCACGTGAAGTGTTAATACCACATTATGATGCCTTGGTAAGACCACACTTGGAATATTGCATCCAGTTTTGGTCGCCATGATATAAAAAAGATGTTGAGACTCTAGAAAGAGTTCAGAGAAGAGCAACAAAGGTGATTAGAGGACTGAAGGCTAAAATATATGAAGAATGGTTGCAGGAATTGGGTATGTCTAATTTAATTAAAAGAAGAACTAGGGCTGACATGATAGCTCTGTTCCAATGTTTGAGGGGCTGCCACAAAGAAGAGGCAGTCAACCTATTCTCCAGAGCACCTGAAGGCAGGACAAGAAGTACATAGTAATTTTTAAAATCTACATTATCATTAATTTTTTTATACCATAAAAAGCCAAAAGCTCAGACTCCTAGTTGCTTCCTCCTTCACCAATGAATATTTAAAAAATGAATACAGTATAGGATCCTATATATTTACTGTTCACAAACTGATTATAAAAACACAGTTGTAGATAACTAAAAATATAGAATTATCCCTTTTTATATTGGAACTAGATAAGATTGCTACAGTTTTGCACTGGTTAATAGACAATATGGCAATAACTTTATTTTTTTACACTCTTGAGAATATATTTAATTAATAGACTGATCATAACTGTTTTTGCATTTTATAATACTACTGTAAGATTGACGTATGATACAGTTGTAAGATATAGGTGACTAAACAATACAGCTTCCTGGAATGTAAATTGACCAATCCTTACAGAAGTATTTATTTGATTTGTATCCATTCTGGCATATCTTTTCTTTAACTTTCCCCCTTATTTCTACAAGTAATGTTAGACTCAGTTTCTCTTCCATTTAAAATTTAAACAGACCAAGACTTTCCCTAGTAATTACAGGTTTTATTATAATAAATACAGGTGTTGATCTGAGAAATTGTTCAATTATTAGTGATCTTTAAATCAGTTCCTAACTGGAATAATTTTAAATACTGAATTAACTAAACCAGTGGTGGCAAACCTATGGCACGTGTGCCAGAGGCGGCACTCAGAGCCCTCTCTGTGGGCACACGTGCTGTTGCCCCAGCAGAGTTCACCAGAATAGTGAGCACGTGGCGTTTGGAAGCAACAGGGCAGGAAGTGAGCGAGCAAGTGGCATTGCCATCCCGGGATGCCCCGGAGATGGTGAGGGACTGGCCCCTGCCACGCTCACCCAGTCTGCCGTGACCACTGCAGCTACGCCCACTCAGTGCCCCGCCTGAGGGCATCACAATGCTGATGCAACCTGGCACTTTGCAATAAGTAAGTGGGTTTTGGGTTGCAGTTTGGGCACTCAGTCTCTAAAAGGTTCGCCATCACTGAACTAAACATTTTCTCTGAATGACTTCTACCCAATATGTTCTTTGTCCTCCAAGGGGACAGTTGTGCCAGTCAAAAGCCAGCTGAAGAAAGCTCTGAACATAATAATGTTCTCTTCTAATCATGTAGATAGATAAATTGGGGTAGCTGGCATTGCAGTTGCAGAAATATATTTCTTTAAAAAGCTATCCTACACTTTTCCAGTAGCAGTACTGAAAGCAAATTAATAAGCTAGCTGCCTACATTTTTATGAAATGTACGTTAATAATTGAATGATATATCATTTTCACAACTGTCCTTGAAAGTTCCTCAAGGATGCAGTCCAGTATGTGTTTGCTCAAAAGGGACACTGAATAGAGCAAAGATCCAAGCAGCGTGCACCAGTGAACAAGGAATGTAGGATGTTTTGTCCCAAACATCTGGAAGGTACCAGGTACTAATCATTAGAAAGACTAATTACTAAAGAATACGATTTTCAATACTGAAGCATATGATTATAGAGGCTGTATTATAATGGTATCTCAAAGCACTGATATTTACCACCCAAATATTAGGGAATTCCAAGAAAAAGAAGGCAAACATATAAGTATGATGGTTTCAAATCATTTTCAGTTCTGAAGTAAAAACCATATTGTTTGGATAGAGATAAAATAGGAACAAAATTATACGTTTTATATGCCTGTTCCAGACAATAAACTGGCATAAACATTTTGGGCCAATTCTCAAGGCCCATTTGATGTACATAAAGAATTTTGGTTCCTCCAATTGGTATATACTCACAAGTAACATCAGGGTAGAAAAGTTTAACTTCCAAAAGGTAACAGATATGCAATAAATGTGTACATAGAAAGGTGGAAATATTTATAAAGCTAAAAATTGCAATATTTTTCATTCACAAATTTATTTTATTTTAATTATTTATTTTAGCATTTTGCATGACTTCTTGGCCCTAAGGAAAATGAAACTTAAAACTAATGACAATACCTTGAATAACACAAATTCAAATTCAGGTTGAAAATAAAAGTGGAATATGTTTTTGTGAGTCAGAACCCTTCCAGTGTATGATTTTGTAGAGTTTGTATTTGCAAAATCCAAAGCAGTGTTTAATCATGCTATTTCCTTTTATTTATAGTGATTATTTTACAAGGAAATACGAAGAAGATAAAGAAAAGAGGGAACCTGCAAAAGAAAAAGAAAGTCAGGAAGCAATGGCACCTGCTTCTCCATTGGCCACCATACCTCCTGGAAAAAAGAAACCAAACAAAACAGGTTAGAAAATGACATTAGTATACATGAAATGGTCTTGAACAATCATTCGGTTACTTCTGGTTCTTCGTGATCTGCTGGACACTATTTTCCCTGGTTTGTTTTCTCAGTAACTTCTTATTTCGTTCTGGAAAAGTCCTGCTTGCATCATGAGTAATGGTAACTAGGCATCTTGTCTTCTGTAGGCCTTTTTTTTTTCAATTCACTTCATATTTTTTTTAAGCATCAGGGCCTTTCCATGATTTCTGCCTTTGTATTTTGTGTCCTCAATATTTAAGCTTTAGGTTCATTTTTAGTCTTCTCAGTCAATAGTGTGGTTTTACTGCATCTGGTACAATGATTTCTTCTTTCAGTGCAAGGTATTTTCAGTTGCATTCTTCTGCATCACAGTTCAAAAATACAATTTTTCTTTGTTTAATCCTTCTGATGATCCAGCTTTTATATATGTGTGCTTATGTGGGAAAAGTATAGCCTTGACAATATTTACTGTTGCTGTCAATGTTATATATCTGTTCTTTTGTATTTTCTTTAGAGCTGTCATAGCTTTTCTACCAAACAGAAGATTTGTTTTGTTTTATTTCATAGTCAACATCCCTGTAAACTCCCTGCAAAAGGCAGCAGTTTAGGATCCAGGGATTCAAAAACTGGCCTTTTTCTGTTTTGTGCCTTGTATATTTTGATATATTCTTAATTTACTGTAGACACTAGTGAATGCCATATCTGAAGATAAGGAAATAATGTTAGTAAATACAAATTTTAAAAAACTCGTTATAAATCTCTGAGGAAATACTTTATTTTTAGAATCTTAATAGTGTCAATGAAAAAGAAAAGATATTGAACATAACAGAAGTTTAATTTAGCATATTATGGAATATTTCATTGATTGTTGAGAATCTATGGAGAATATGTCCTGTTCAGACTTGTTGCTTCATACTATGAAAAAGCATTAGATAAGCTTTTTGATCATAAAGAGGATCAAATTTATGGTATGCCTCAAATTAATGTATCAAGTACATCTCAGTGTTCTTGAGCATGTTTATATTCTTGCTTAAAGAAGCAGTTAAATGTTTGGATCAAAAATCAGATTTTCCATAGCACCCACACCCATAACTTGTCAGATTTTCAAACGATGCAGGCTTTTCTTTAACATTTGAGGACATAAATGTCACAGTGGGAAATGATGGTTGCTATGTTCTGTGCTACAAAATTCAGCTATTGTTAAGGTACCTAAATGGGAGCTACATAATTTTCCAAATGTACCTTGGATTCTGATTTTTTAAACATAAATATTATTTTGAAAATCTGGATGAGGTTAAAAAAATGAACACAATGAAAAAGTTAGTAAAGAGAAAATAATAGAACATTTTGGTCTGAGAAATAAAACTTCAGCAAAGAGTTTGTAATATCTGCCCTTGCATGTAAGAAAAGAGTCTTTAAGCTGATATAAAATTAATGTTAGAAAGCTAGCTGGATAAATAGGAAAAAGTTTAAAATGCACTTAGAATTATTTTTCTTCAAATTCCTATTCCTGGATCAGTGTCTTTGATTCCAGATGAATTGTAGATTAAGGAACCTGAAGATTTCTTTCTACATTTTTTGACTTCAGTGCAAAAACTACCATTTTATTTATTGTGGTCTTGTTAACATTAAGCAGAAGCTGACTACATCCTTTTTCCCCCTGTGTTTTTAGGCAAAAAAATGTCTGTGATAGAAAAGCCAATAGTCCCAGCAGAGCTTCCTGAACCTGTACTTATGGGCAGTTTGGCTATTGGATGTACATCACTTGCTATTGCAAAGAGTGCTGCAACTGTTCGTGACATACCTTTGTACTTATATATTACTTTGCTGAAACATGACCAGGTACTTGTCAGGATTTACCTTGTTGTGCAGATTCAGAATGCTCAGTTGAAATGGGAACAAGAGAAATGATTGCCATATACACAAAACCAAGTCTTATGGTACGTGTAGTGATCAATTGTAGCAACTGTAGCACACTAGACAATATAGCAGATGTGATCAGCTCCAGTTTGCTAAATGTTTTCAGTTTGATGCATGCTGCATCTACATTTGTGGTCAGCGGAAACTTCTTTTTAAAAAGTAAATGATCAAGCAGATTGCTTACTTTATAAAAGTAAAACATGGTGGCCTGGTCAAGAAGATAATCCTGTCCCTGTAATGACTTTCTTTATATGAGGTATAATTAAATGGGATTTACTGCCACCAGTTTAGATGATTTAATATAGTCTGGATAGCTGGTTGTTACCTACAGGGAATGATACAGTTGATATTATCTGGGGTTCAGAATTAAACTATTAGACATGGTTAATATAGTGAAGATGGTAGAGGACAGGAAGACCTGGAGGAACGTTGTCCATGGGGTCACAATGGGTCGGACACGACTTCGCAATTAACAACAACAAATATAGTGAAAGTGCCAAAATTGTTGGCAAGTCAAAAAATAATCTGGGAAAATGGCTTGGCAAAACTAATTTTGTGAAGGAAAGTAAAGTTTTCCTAGCTTTCAGGTTCCCAGCATGAGCCTGAAAGCTAGGAAGAATAAATATTTGGTCCTGGTGACTGACTCAGATTGGAACCTGCAAAACCAGATTGTATTATTGCTGGGACAATTACATTCCTGTGACACAGAACACTAGGCCAGATGGATCTGGAATGAGCAAGGTGAATTTTCTTATATTGTGTTATTATGTTATTTAAGCCTTTTCATGACTGATATGTGTTAGAAGAGACAAGAGTAATATCTATTATGTAGTTGTTCCTATCTCCCATTTCTTGGTTAGGGGCCAGAAGATTGAATTAATAATCAATTAATTCACTGGTCTTAGTTTGATTGAAGCACCAAACTATAGTTTGAATAAACCCATTACAAAACCTAAGCTATAAACTATAATTAAAAGGTTCTTCTTTAACCACAGTTTAATTTAAAATCCAGGTTTGAACACCGTATTTTATCTAACCATATTTTGTCTTAGTTTACTGTGCATGCCATCTCTAAATGTCAGTGGGATGAAAAGGAGTCATATTCTAATACAAGTATTAATCAGTCTTTGTTTACTCTTGTTCCCTACTCTCGTGTCAATACATAGGAATATTCCTACATATGAATGATATTGAATTAAGGCAAATCCTAATCCTAGATTTTATGCTGTCCATCTCCGGCATACAGGAAATGCCAGAGTGTAATAATGGATCTCTGTATACTGATTTAAATCATATTATTTTTCTGGTAGCTGAAATAGTCTTAATTTAACATTCTGGTCTAAAATTGGATATTTATGATCTTAATGAAATTAAGCTTTATCTTTCTAGCCAGTCATACAATAGATACAAATTGTACATATACATTTGCAAATACAGTTAACTTTCCTTTGTGATCCAAATAGTGTACAAGGTAGTTATCGTAAAATATAATATATGATTAAAACCTTGTACATTATTTGGATTATTTATTTTTAGTACAACCAATAACAATTCTTCATTCTTCCCCATTTAGAAGATGCCAAAAGAACTGGTTATGCCACTGCCAATGATAACAGTTTTAAATTGTGGGAAATCATCACCTGGAAAACTGAATGTAATGAAAGAAGTGATGCTGATCCCTCCTGCCTGGTTAACAGTTAAACAAGTACTGCATGCTGTTGTTCTAAGTTGAGAATGATAAATAAAATGTTGAAAATCATTCAAGTACATTGTATTCGCCTCTCAGGATGGAAATGCTGTTTATCTATATCACTGCTATTTATTAAAACTATTGACTTGGAACTAAATTCAAAATCTGTGTATGTGCAAGAAATCTCAGGAAAAAAAAATTAAAAATACTGTTATGTTGATCAGACTATGCAAAATGTCTATCCAATAAATAAACATGCAGCATTTTATCTGCATGATACACTAGATATAGCTATAGATATAGCTATAGATATAGCTATAGACATAGGTGTAGATAGTTACAGTAGCCTATCATTTTTCTGGCATTTATTTATTTGGGAATTTCCAGTGCCTCTTATAATGAAGGAAAATAAGTAAAAACATTAGAAAGATTGAACAGAATTTGCTGTACAATAAAGTTTCACATTCTAAGATGATCAGTGCTAACCTGGTACAGAGGAAGCATTAGTTTCATGAACAATTATTAAAAATGTCTATAGTTACAATGGTTCTAAAATGGATTTGAGAATTAGCTTTGACAGATAAATCTTGATCACCCCAATAACCTTTGAATAAGTTTAAAGAAAAGATATATGATGACACAGTCCTGCATTATGGCTGAAACCACAAGTAAAAGAAATGTGATCGTAGGCTATGCAGAATGTGAGACTACTTAGATATGGTTATCAGTTTTTGATTAATTTCTGCTAAAGGAAAACTTGATTAACATAATGTGTCAATCTATTATGCACTTCAGTAGTGTAAATGTAATTAACTCTATTGTCTTAGTAGAAGTTACATGTTGACACAATTGTTGATTAATTTTGTTCATCTCGTGGTGTTATATAATAAGCAAACCTTTAATAAATCTGAAAGCTAATCATATTGAGAGATATAAAATTAAATTAGTCAGCATTAAAGTATAATTAAATCTGTATATCCCTGTACTAAACATGGGTAAGAATTAGTTAAAATGAATGGTAAACAAGAGGTTTTGATTTGTCAGTGAAAACAGTGCAGTGTTTGTGTGAGACACACCACTTTGGGAAATGCATTTCACAAACAGAGCTCTGTCCAAGGGTGAGGATATTTTTGTAAAAAAAAGAGAGAAGTGCTTTCTCTGATGATCTTAAAGCATAAGCTAACTGATACAGGAAGATGGTCCTCCTTGACATTATTTGATATAGACTTGTTTATATTTCATTCAAGGCCAAAGCATAATCCATAGAAGAAGAATTCATTGTTTTTCAGTAAAATGGGATTTAGTGATATCCTCTTAAAACAGAAATATTTCAGAATTCAGTTAGCTTCTAACAAATGTTAGAGCAACATGGATGCCTATTTCGAGAATCTAGTTTTACTTCTGTCCATGATCCTAGTGCCTTGTTCACATCCCAACCCACATTTGCTCATTGATGCTTAATGATACTTTAATGAACCTAAATCTATAGGAAATTCCAGGCTGAGCCTGAGGAGGACAAAAGCACCATCAATCACGAGTCCCTTCATTTCCACAAGAGATCTAAGTCCAGGCCACCTTGAATGACTTTCTTGTCTCCCGCTAATTTCCCTTGACTGTTAGTAGCTCAGATTTTTGTAGAGAGCTTAAGCTTGCAATAAATCTTTATACTCATTTGATCTGTCTGATTCTTCTAATTTTCAGGCACTTGACAAAATCATAATGATGAAAAAAGAGATAATGTGTCTTGGAACATTACAGTGCAAATCCCAGCCTTTTGTACTTTTATCACAATGTCACAATGCACATCCATTTTCCCCCCTTACCACACAATGCTGTTTCCAGGATTAACCTTCCAAATTCAAGGTTGAATTGCTAATTACATAAACCTGTGACTTCTCCACAACTTCCGATGCAATCTGGAGCTAAGAATAAATCTCTTATTAAAGAGCATATTTGTGATTTTATGAAAAAAATCAGTCATTTTTAAAGTTGAATTTCCAATGGAAAAAAGCATGTGATTGAGGGAATGTTTTATTATTATGCAGGCCATAACAAGATGTATGGATATTCAGAAACAGATGTTGAAATTGATAGAAAAAATGAATAAAGAGGTAAGTCAACAATAATAAAATCTATTTAGGACATTCAAGAATGAATGCTATTACTTTAATAAACAAATAAATAAATCACAAATGCACATGCCTGTAATAGAATTTGCCTTGGAGAAGGAATGTGCAGGGATGGGGGGAGAATCCTGGCAGGAGCACCATGGTTTCCCAAGGAGGAGGCAGTACATTTCAAAAAGAATCCCAAATTAAGAGATTGCACAGTCCTAAATTGGATGGGGGAGAGATTCAGGGTGATATATTTCACCTTGTTATATCTGTTAAGTTAGAAGATTATAGCTTTAATCTTGCAAAATTCTGTCTACTAGTTGTAAGCAAATAGAAAATTGGACTCAATTGGATTTCACAGTGTCATCTTTGGGCTTAGGTCTAACATGCCGATACTCATAGGAAGGAAAGAAATATTGGGAGGATCGCAAACAAAGATCATAGTCTGTAAAACAAAAATAATTGTAGAGAGAGGAGGCAAAAACAATCCAACAAGGAGCTACTGTTTGGATAAGGAAACAGAAATTCACCTGAGAAATGGGATAGAATGAAGAGATGTGGCTGGTTGCACAAGAACCTTCTTAGCATTTTATTATAAGTTGCTATTTTAAATTAATAGATGTTCATTATTTATAATGCTGAGTCAGATAATTGTTGGCAAGGTACAGTTGAATAATGCATTTCTATTTTAGACTCAGTATAGGGTTGTATCACGTACAATATATTCATTTTACCTACATATTTTACCATGATGACTCTCATGCTACAATGGTTGACAATTTGTTACATGTTTCTGCATACTATGCTTTCCTAAACACTTTGTTCTTGAAAAATCCTTTGCAACAGTCTGGTTCTGCAATAGATGACAAAAAAGCTGCTTCACGAGATGCAGGGAAAAAGACGCTGGTAAGGAGAAAAATAAAGTCCTAAGTTTAAGCATGATGAAAGATTAAGATTAAAATCATATGGGAAAAAGCTTACTAGCCCTCCCTGACATATTGTAATATTCAACTTATTTGCTCTAAGACTGCATCCTTGCAAACAATATGAACAAACATAGTAATTGTCTTCATGTCCATCTGGTCATAGAAATTGGAAATAGTAACTAGGAAGTTACCTGATTGGATTCTTGTAGGTAATGATAAATTATATATACTTGAAATATTACCATAATATTACCATGATTTGACCTATGAAATGACCATACAGAGAAAGAGCCTTAAAGGAGTTTAGAATATCATCCATATAGTTTTGATGGAACGGTTGAAAAATGGCAGGCATTCAGAATTTAGCAGACTATTTTTTGTAAGTTAATTATTGTTATTTATATATTATTTATTCACAGCTTCCTGTTCCTAAAAAAATATCCCATTTAGGTTGTCTAGTAATGGGATACGAAAGTCAAGAACAACCACTAACTTTGATCCAATCAGCATGCACAAATCTTTCCTTGGAATTAGGAACAGATATATACTTGGGGATAAATTGTGCTGCTCATGAACTAATGGATTATGTAAGTTTTATTTTCAATGTTTTCAATAATTTATCATTAGCTTTTCCTCTTTTGGGGGAATGTGTTATGATAGTGGATGTGATGGCATGATAATGGGACAAATGTGTAAAACATATTGTTCATCTAAAATTCTAGAGACTTTTGTAAAAGTTCAGTATATATAATTCCACAATTAGGTTTGACTTTAACTTATTTTTTTTAAACAATGGATAGCATCATATTTAATATTTTGTCAATAAATTACACTCTAGAATAAAGGAAAATATGAAGTAATTGTTGGAACACCCAAATCTGCTGATGAAATGGTGGATATGTATCTAGATCTGGTTAAAAAATTCCCTTCTATTTTAACTTTAATAGATCCATTGAGAAAAGAGGTAAGTTCCTTTTACTTATACACAGATATATTTAAATTTGCATTACTTTTTTAAAACAGCATCTAAAAATGAAACAAACATGTAGATGATGTTGATGTTTTAGGAATCATGCATTCTAAAGAAAAGAATAAGACATAGATGAAGGAAATTACACTGAGCTTCTTTCTCCAACAGTGTTATTGTGGTCCAGTAACACTGGACTAGCCTTGTTTAAATCTAATTGAAATGGATTTTAGAGGATTGTAATTAATTTCCATTGATTTAAAAATAATTTAAATGACTCATATATCTAGTTTAGTATTTAGTTTAATGTATATAAGCTCCTCTTACATTGTTCGGTTTGATACACCAGTAGTATCGTTCTGAATAACTGTTTACTAATGTATGTAAACTAGATTTAAAACATCATTTTGTAATCATTTACGCACAGAATTACAGTTGTTAAAGGGCCTTTTTGAATCTTGTTTAGCTGGTATTTTAGGAGGCATAAGCCATAAGATATGTAGGTATTGCTATGCTCATATCTCACATTGACTATGGTAAATATTGTAAGACCTAAGAATGTTACTCATATCTAGGATTTTTTATATCTCCTTATTTTATAATGTGAAATATTTATTAATTTGATTTTTATCTCATTTCATTACTTTATTACTTATTAATATCATTAATATCAAGGTATTCTTACTTTATAAGTTTACTCAAGATGGCAAACATACGTAATACTTCCTCTCCCTGTTTTCCCCATAACAGCCCTGTAAGATGAGTTGGGCTTAGAGAGATTGATTGGCACAATGTTTTCCCAGCAGGCTTTCATACCCAGGGTGAAACTCCTGGTTTCTAGGTCACCACCTTAACTAACTTTGCTTCTGATCCATCCCAAAATATTTAATTGTTAGTTAAACTTCCCTAACAGAATTATCTCTGAAATCTTCTTAATATAAACTGCTAAAATCTAGACAAAACTCAGAGGTCTTATTACTGTTTGGTGCTGGTGGGGGATGAAATTGTAGAGTAGCTGTAATAGTATGTGGGAAAGACCTTGAAGATGGGGCAAAGAGATGCTGCCAAGTGAATGGTCAAAAAAGGGAGAACGTAGTCCACAGCTGCTTAGTGGGGTGAGCAAGAGGCTGAATATCAGCCCTTCTGTTAAGGCTTCTAGATCAGTGGTTCTCAACCTTTCTAATGCCACAACCCCATAATACAGTTCCCCATGTTGTGGTGACCCCCAACCACTTATACATCACTGAGTGCCAGGGACGTGGCCAAAGAAAAGGGGGAAAAAATGGCAGACAGCCTTGTTTGGCGACCCCCGTGAAATGGTTGTTCGACCCCAAATGGGGTCCCGACCCACAGGTTGAGAACCACTGTTCTAGATAAATTGAAGAGTTTTATTATGCAGCTTCATTCACCCTAGTACTGAATTTACTGATGTTAATGTTAAAAGTATCTCATTTTTTAGAAAAAGAATTCTGGCAGTACTTTGCCTTCTTGTTTATAGCTAATGCTTGAAAGAAATTCCTTATGTGTTTAGTCACACTTGACCAATAAAGAATATTCTATTCTATTCTATTCTATTCTATTCTATTCTATTCTATTCTATTCTATTCTATTCTATTCTATTCTATTCTATTCTACTCTACTCTACTCTACTCTACTCTACTCATTATTTGCTATCTTTACAGGACCGTCAACAATGGATCCATCTGTACAATGTTTTGGGTTCTAAGTGTTATTTAATTGCAGAAGACTCATGCAGGAATTTGACTAAACTTCTGAGTTCTAAAAAAAGCAATATGCCAAAATGCAGCGGTCTTGTCATAAAACATATCAATGAAGCTAAAATTTTGGACCTTGTACAAATGACCCAGCGATTAGATGGTAAGGAAAGAACTGTATATCAAAATTCAATAGTAATTGTAAAAATATAGAGCTTTTTATATTTAGTAAAATATTTAATAATTAAAAATCTTATTCATCAAAATGTTATTTCATTATGGATTGACAATATAATTGGGGACTCATTTTAAAATATGTAAGTTGAATGTTTAGATATAATTCAGTTTTAAATGGTATAGAAAATTTCATGTATCTCTTGTAGTATTGGTTTGTGTCACATATTTCCCAGCATTCTTTATGGAGCTCAGAATGTAACAAAGATTTAAAAATGTTAATATTCAGATTTTTATTTATATCAGCTAGAATTGTTCATTTAAAGAAAACAAAAAACCTGTATTCAACAGGAAAAGATTCACTACTTTTATTTTGAATATACTTCTAGGTGATTATCTCTACTGTAACAATTATGGGGAGTGTGAAAAGCAAGTAATATTTTAGCTTTGCTAGAGTTTGTCCATAATCCAATGCAGAATAATTAAATTTAAATAGATGTAAATGTTTAACACTGTTTGGGCTGTGGGCAGATGATTTTGTACACTATAAATAAGTCATAATAAAACAAAATTAGATGCAATAGAATAAGAAAAATGTTTGCTAAATAAGCAAGTAATTGTGTATTTCCAGAAGGACAGCTGTGTTAGTTTGCTACAGCAAAACTATGATAAATTTAGTATCTTTAAGGAATTATCTGTTTAATGAAACTGAAACATTTCTGGACTAGCATCTATTTTATTAGTCCACAAAATTTAAATTTATAATAAATTACTAACTCTAGAAGATGCCATAAGACTTTCCAGTAATTTTACAATTAAGACAGAGATGTTTTGCAAGCTATAGATGTTTTATGAAATTAAAAGCCCTTGCATTCAATACAGATTGGAGGCACCTTTCCATCTTAGGAAGTCCAGATGGAGAATCTTCTGATGATAGCCTTGCAGACCTGGTATGTATGGAAAACTCCTCTATTGCCCAAAGCTTTTTATCTTCATCTGCTTCCTAGGAGAAATGTTTATCTAGTAAAGAGACATATAACCTTTGAGGAAATTGGCTTTTTCAAGAAAGTTGCCTTTTAAAGAGAATCTTTGAACATTCAAGGCCAAATAGCAAATAGTAGGCAAGAGAAGCACACTGCAAATATGTAGTGTCTCTTGCTGACATTTTTAAGGAAAAGTTGAATAAATCATTCAAACATAGGGCAGTAACAGTATTTTCTTGTCTTAATGGATTCCAGTTAATTTCTTTGTATTAAAGTATATTTACATAGAGGATGTCATTTGAAATGATGACTTATTTAAATTAATGTGTCAATTTTCTTTCACTAGTCCTTCATTTATTCTCTTCTGCCTCCTGCAATCTCCCAGATCCCTCCTACTCCCCTTCCTTTCAACAATGTAGTCATCTTGGATTCCTTTACATCTACTTCAGCTTCCTATCTCTTCTCCTGATTTACTACACCAATGCTGACTACTCTGTTAGAAATACCTGAACTATTTTCTCCCCCAAATTGGGCAGCCTATTAATATCCAGACTGATAAGTTACAATGGTGCTTTTTTTCCTTCCTTTGTTCTGTCTCCTCCTGATAGTTAGTTGATAACTTCTGCTTATATGTAGGAAACAGGTAAATTATTTATTAGAAGCCAGGTATAATTCTTGCCGCTGTTGTAACATGCAAAGTCAAATATGTGCTTTGTTTATCTGGCATTATACCTAATAAAAAAGTTCAGGCTTAAAATCTATGCATTCTCCCAACATCTTTTCTAGCCAAGCATGTATCTTTTTCCAATAACTTTTTGCTTTGGCATATGTCCACCAAACATGGTAATAAGTGCCTGACTTATGTTTGCATTTCCAACATCTATCTGACATGTCACCTCTAGAACTATCTGATTGAGTGTTGTTTTCTTTGTGGATATTCTTTCCTCTCTCATTTATAGAAGGGAGAGAGGGGCCTATTCTAGTTTCCACTTCTGCATTAGCCATCCCATGTCTATCATTATGTGTCCTCCTGAGTCCTTCTGCAATGTTTTGTTGACTGCTGATAAACTTTGCAAAAGACTCTTTCAAGCAGTCAACCTTATTTGTGACAATTGATAAAAGTTCGTAGATTGAATTTATGGTTTGAGCTGTGAGCAAACATTGTCTGGAAAGGAGATCTGTTTCATTCTCCCTTACTACGTTTATTACTATCCCATCCTGTGCAGGAAAAGCGGGTGCTGAGTTCCAGGGAGGGGAGCTATTTTCTGAGAGAAACAGAAAGTTCTATATCAGTGTTTCTCAACCTTGACAATTTTAAGGCATGTGGACTTCAACTCCCAGAATTCCACAGCCAGCAATGCTGGCTGTGGAATTCTGGGAGTTGAAGTCCACATGCCTTAAAATTGTCAAGGTTGAGAAACACTGTTCTATATGCTGTTTGCTTTCAAGTTCAGTTTGTAAATCCCATTCCAATGAGTCACATACAGATGAGTTACTTATTGGAGCAGACTGTCTATTTGCAGCGAAATCTTCCATTTTCTGCTGCTTCAGTGGCTTGGAAGAACTCTGTGCTGCCGAGTGAACACGCTGTCTCTTTCTCCTTTTCCCCATTCTTGGTAATCTTGGCTTGTAGAGTTGTTAAAATGTAGGTAAAACAATGGTAGCCTCTCCAGTATATATCCTTGATAAAAAGTCTTTGACTATTATAAAAAGTCAAAGGAGAGTTAAAATGGAGGTGGCGCAGCAGTTAGAGTGCAGTACTGCAGGCCACTTTAGCTGACTGTGTTCAGCAGGTCAGCGGTTCAAATCTCACCGGCTCAAGGTTGACTCAGCCTTCCATCCTTCCGGGGTAGGTAAAATGAGGACCCAGATTGTTGGGGGCAATGTAAATATATATATACATTGCTTACTGGTGTACACCGCTTAGAGAGTGCTTGCACTTAAAGCGGTATATAAGTCTCATAAATAAATAAATAAAATGTGTTAAAAGTAGGTTAAAATGCAGTGTTAAAAAGGGTTAAAAAGTTAAAATAAAAAGAAAAGAAAAGAAAGCTTTTACTTTCGGAGGAGCTCTTTGCAGCCTTTGCTGCCTGTCCATCATCTTGGATCCTCCAATTGATACCCTGATTTTCCATTTCTTGTTTAGATTTTAAATTCCCTTCAGAGTTTAGAATATCTCTGTATGTCCGGATTTTTTTCAAAATCAACTAAATTTGGGTGTACAAATGCTTCTATTGTTGAAAGCCAACCTGGAATTTTCAGATATATTTTACATTTTATTTTTTCCCATGTTGTTAATATTGCATTTCTTATATAGTGATTTTGAAAGTACTTATGAATTTTATTTTTCCCATACCATAATATAAAACCCACTCTGGTAAACCAAACCTCCATTTTCCTTGGCATCTTGTAACATTTTCATCTTAATTCTAGCTTTCTTTATTTGCCAAAATATTTTGAATGAATTCAAACTATGCAAAGAAATATAAACTACCCAGAGAAGTTCATGTAAGATTCATAAAGAAAACAAGAGATAAAATACTGTGGATTAAACCAGATCCTCAAGAGAGTAAGAGACACCCGAAGACAATATTACTTCTTAACTAAAAAGCTAATTACAAAAGGTATAAACTTCAGATGGTTAATGCCAGAAGGGAACTGGAATAATACAAGATACCGAATGGACTCATTTTGGAAGGCACAAGACTTTGATGAAAGAAATCAAGCATTTTAAAATGAAGGAGTACAATATCAACAAGAGGAGAGAAAAGATCAGAAACAAACAGAAGAAGCAACTGAGGAAGCAACTAAACAAACAGAATAACAGAAAGAGAAACTTGATCAAGAGAGTGAGGGAATAGCCAGAGAACAGAGGACTATGAGATTGACAAGACCTAAATATAAGTAATTGAAATGGAGAAAGAAAACGGATTTTTTTCAATGAATATAAATGGACTGACTTCCCCATCAAAAAGAAATAATTTTTTAGAAAACTACAGAAATTAAACATAGATATAATTTGTTTGCAAAAGACACATATTAAAAGACAATATTACAAACTGTTGGAATACCCCAAAATTGGGAAACTTTACCATGCATCAGCGCAGCAGAAAAAAAGAAGTGTAGCCATAAAGAGACAATAGACTCTAAAATGATTTATTCAGATGAAGAAGGAAGAATTGTGATGGTAGAATTGTTGGTAGCAATATATGCATCAAATAATAAACAGGGAGAATTTTATCAAGATTTCCATAGAAAAATAACAGAAATGGAGTATCAAAATATTTGCTGGTAGGAGGTTTTAACGCAATAGTGGATGGGACCTTAGACTATAAAAGTAGCAAAACAAGAAAAAGTGGAAGAAAAAGATTACCTAAGACTTTTTTTAATATGATAGAGCAGTGGTGGCGAACCTATGGCACGGGTGCCAGAGGCGGCACTCAGAGCCCTCTCTGTGGGCACGCGGGCCATCACCCCAGTCCTAGGCCTTCAGCTGGGTTTTATAAAACCTTTTCGCTTTAGGCCTCTGCCACAGTGTGCAAAAAAAAAAAAAAAGGTTCAATCAATCAGTAAATTTCAACTTCTCGGGGGAAAAAAAGATCTTGCAAAGTTGGAATTGATTGATTGAACTTTTTAATCCCACCCAGTCTGCCATTACCACTGCAGCCACGCCCACCCAATGGGCCATGCCCAGCCAATGGGCCACATCCAGCCAATGGGCCACATCCACCTGGCACTCGACGATGCACAAGTGGGTTTTGGGTTGCAGTTTGGGCACTCAGTCTCTAAAGGATTCGCCATCACTGTGATAGAGGAAACTGGGGTACAAGATGTCTGGAGAGAAATTAATCCAGGAAAATTACAATATACATTTTATTCAAATAGTCACAAATCCTGGTCCAGAATTGACATGATTTGGATGACATCTGAATTGAGGACAAGTATGCAGGAGATTGAGATAGAATCAGGTACATGGGCAGATCACAACCCCTTAACTATGACATGGAGAGGAATACCAAAAAAAATTAAGATGGACTTTGAATCAATCTATATTAAAAGAAAAAGAATTTATAGAATTAGCAACAAAAGAAATTGAGTTTTTCTTTAAAGAAAACAAAAAAGAAGATACAACATTACAAAATGTATGGGATACAGCCAAAGTATATTTTAGAGGTATAGCTATAACATACATGGCGAAAAAAAATAAACAGAAAAGACAACAATACATATTATTAAGGGAAGAATTTGGAAAATTAGAATCAGAACTGCAAATATTATAAATTACATCCAGGGAAACAATTGGCACTAATACTTTTAGATACACAAAAGGAATTTGATAATGTTTCCTGGCAATTTATGATTCAGCAATTAAAAATAAATATAAATATGATTAAAACAATATACAGTAAACAAACAGCGAAAGTGATTGTGAATGGAAATTATACAGAAAACTTTGAGATAAAAAAGGTACAAGGCAAGGATGTCCATTATCTCCATTGTTATTTATTTTAACCTTGCAAGTTCTAAACAGAAATATTAGACAAGATATGGAAATTTAAGGACTAGAAATAAAAGATGAAACATACAAATTACAAGCATTTGCAGATGATTTGGTATTTATTTTAGAAGAACCCTTGGAGATGATTCCTAAACTACTGGGAAAGATAGAACAGTATGGAGAAATAGCAGGACTGAAAATAAACAGAGAAAAAATTAAAGTAATAGTTAAAAATCTTTCAGATAAACAAAAAGAAACAAATGTCAGAAAAAATAGAACTACAAATAGTTTAAAAGTTTAAATACCTGAGAATAACAGCAAGATGTTCAATGATAAAAGAAGATAATTATACAAAATTATTGAATCAAATAAGAGTGGGTTTGGAAAAATGGAAAAGCTTACAATTGTCAATATTAGGAAGAATTGCCGCAGTCAAAATGAATATATTACCGAAAATTTTATTTCTATTTCAAACAATACCTATAAAACTTGAGAAAAAATTCTTTGAAGATTTAAATTCATTAATTTTGAAATTTACTTGGCAGGTTTTATTTCATTATACTTATCAGATTTACTGCTGCAATTTAAAAGTTATATGAGTTTGATGATTAATCTGCAATCACAATTCAGCTGAGATTTTTGCTGCTTTAAGAAATAAATATGCAAATCTTGTATTAATATCTATTTTAAAAAATCCTTTAATATAATTAAACTGTGAAAGAAAAAAACACAAGAATGAAATACACACACATACATACAGTAGAGAAAGAGAAAGTAATAGATAAAAATATATGAAAGACATATTTTGAAACAAAACATTGATTACATAGAATATTGGTACCTGCAGTTACAAATTCAGCTCTTTAATTATGAGCTTTCATGTAGGGTTGAAATATACATGACCGTAATTAAAGCTTCTATTTAGTCATCAAGTTAGCTTAGTATTAATAAACTACCAAAGTTTTCAGCTATGAAGTTTTTAAAGGAATTTATTTGTCTTAGGCTGTTGGACTGGGAACCAAATTCATCAAACTGGGAGGTCTTTCCCGTGGAGAGAGGATAGTCAAGTACAATCGACTTCTTGCAATAGAGGAAGAATTAAACAAGAATGGAAGGCTTTGTAAGAACCTCTTTCTTACTTTGTTTTCAGTGTTTAATGAATAAGAACCCAAAGATTGGAGAAAGTGACTGAAATCACTCTATAGGAGGAAAGGGGAATCAAAAGACTGTAAATAAGCACTTGCAGAAAACAGGATGACATTTGCCATGAGGTGCATTGTCCTGATGACGAGTTATCTATTTATCTGAATGTTCAAGTAAAATTTCTTGGAGAGAATGGGCCACAACGTTTCTTTCTTCTACATATTTAATTGGTTGAAATCATCACCAAGGGAGAGTGTTTTCTGAACATTCTTACATAGATGAATATTCACATGTTGTGGAGGAAGCTTTAAAATGCGATTCATTGTCTTCCATATAAAGATTCACAGACAATATTATATATAAATTGCATGTATTATGAGAGGTGACACTAGGGAGATAGTAAAAATGGGGATGTGACATAAGCTGCATACAAGAGGTTCAGCCCCTGCAAAATTCAATTAAAACTATTAGTTTGAATTGTCTTAAAACACATGCTGCTTCTTTGAAGCCTGTTTTTAATTGACTCACAACAATGGGTTAATGACAAAAATAAAACCAGAATATAGAAAACTGGCTCAAACCAGACCTGGCAATTTGTCCATAAAAAAGAAATTACTAACTGGCTGTGGTTTGTAGGGCAGCATTTTCCAATCTAGTGTTGTTTAGATGCATTTGGACGACACATTTCAGTGTGACCAATAACAAGCTAAGTAAGGGTTCTGGGAGCAGCAGTCTCAATGCATTTGCTGTTGAAACATCATCTTTACAATCTCAGAGAAAAAGCTCCCAGAACCCTCTGGATTTTTGGATTTTTTTTCTTCAAATAGTTTTGCCACTTTTCCATAAAATGGAATGATCAATGCTTGTTTGCACTGTACAAACCTCTGGGAGTAATTGTTTCCTTTGCTTACTTTTTATACATGGCAATATCTATAAAGGATAGGGCAGAACTCTTGTAACTTGCAGAGATGAGCAGATAAGCAGACATTTCATTAAACTGTTTCCAAAATTAGAACATGTTTGTGTTTCCCATGTGTTAATATTAGACTGGATCCCCACGCACATTTGTACTGTACTCCATATTCATATTTTCCTCTTGTAAAAAATGAGCTGGAATTTACATTCCTTGATGAATGGAACAGGAATAGATGCAGATATAGTCCGTAAATCTTCCATTTACTATTGCAGTCTAGCATAGTGATGGGCAAGAACAACAACAAAAACCTCTGTAATGCGGCATATACCTGATCAGAGATAAAGGAAAAATGATTGATATATAAAGTTACACAGACAGACTTTCTCCCTTAAAATGTGAATATGAATTTAAAACGATCAATGCTCTTTTCACTACATTTGTTATTTGGCTGTGTATTCCTTTGTAGGTGAAAGAGATGAGTATGAATTCATTGACTTTACTGAAGAGGAAGAAGAGGAAGAGGAAGAAGAGGAGGAGGAAGAAGAAGAAAAAATTGATTATACTGATTCTCCTTCAGGCAGTACACAAGCTGTAGTCTAAAAATTAATGTTTCAGATTTGACATTGGTTAATTCAAGCTGACCCTGAAATTCTTTTGTGAATGCATTGCATCTTTCCCAATATAGCAACTGTGATAAAAATGTAAATTTATTTCTCTTATTGTCATTAAAAGTTATTTTTGATTTTATTTTGTCAATGACTGAATATTTCTTTCTTTCAGTTCTATTTGTTCCTGTGCACAGTTCTGCACAGACAGGAGTGTCTGGTAAAATTTATTTTGGTGGGAGAAACTAACAATACATATTATAGAACTGATTATAAAATCAATGATTCATTAAATTCCACTAATACAAGTATTTGTTTGAACAGTAATCAGTCTTGATGTGGGGTTTATCATAAAATTCTTTATTCCAAATATGTATCATCCTAATAACTGACCATTTTAAAAGACCCAAAACATCTTTTAAAAGTAAGCATCTGAAATATAAATTGAAACTATTTTTATTAGAATATTAAAATTATATGAACAATTAAGATCAGGAATAATGTATCTGGCTAGTACTATGACTACCAGCTAGAGGTTTGCAGAATTAGTATAGATTCCTAGTGCAGTATAATGTAATTTATGGTGACTCACCAGTTTTTCTGAATCTCTTGTAAATTTTTATGTGAAGAATTAAAACAACTGCAACACAATACTCCAGAACCAACAAATCACAATATTTAACCAGGACATTTTTAATAAGCAGCATCAAAAGAATAATATATTTCATACTAATCATTTGAGAAGAAATATGCCTTTTTAAAATGTTTGTATTTTCAATAATTCCAAAAATATACAAATTATCATATTAAATTCAATATAATTAAACTAATATAAATGTAAAATCACTAAAAAAAACATTTTTCCACATTTACAAATTATTCACCATTCAAATCATAGAGTAGAATTCTTTATTGGTCAAGTGTGATTAGACACACTAGGAATTTGTCTCCAGTGCGTAAGCTCTCAATGTACAAACATAAATCATAGATAAAAAAACATAGTTATAATCATTAATCATATGATACATTCTGAAGAATGCATTCAGGAAGAAACCCATCTGATTTTCATGGAATTTAACTCCAAATGGAAGTCTATAGAAAACTTTATGGTTTCTTTTTTAAGTCAAGCATTAAACACGTACATATCAAGTCAAATTAATAAATTAGATTCAACCTTAGACCTCACTACCAATCACTGTTTCCTATCAGAAAGTTCTTAATAGTGCACTCAAGCCCATATTAAATTGCAAACTGCTGAGGTTTCATCACGATTGTCCATTATATTGGAAATGTATAGTTTTAGAAACGTGAATAAATTGTTAATTGCATTCAAAGTAGCCTGTTGCATATTTATCAATGTTTGTATTAGAAAAATAAATGATGACCAAATATAGTAAATCAGCTATGTTGTCTATTTCCTGAATTCACTGCATTCCATAGGGTGACATATTCAATGCATCTGCTGAGCTAGAAGAACCCTCTGACTACTCTCAGGGATCTTACTAATGGCAAGGTAAACATCATTTGGCCAATGCATATTCCATACCCTCCATACCATGCCCTGAAATAGTACCGTAGGTAGAAATTCATGTGGAGGTATATTACTGATATATTTTAATATTATATTGTAGAAACAGAGCAAGGCACATATACATACACACATACGCATATACAGACATACAACACATATAGATAACTACACAGGATGTGACCATATGAATTCAATCCCAGGCAAGAGTACTCCGAATTTGGCCATATACAAGGATTCAAATCAAACATCACTGTCTAAGCCAGCCATTTCAAATAGCATCTCTCATACTGCTGGGAAGTAGTTGACAAAATCAACAAGACATAACTGGCAGTCTGTTTAGGTAAAAAAAAGTAACCACAAACACATAAGGAATAAATGCCATGTAATCTTCTCAAAATTGACAAAAATGTCAAGTTTATTTTCTGATTGCTGAAGACCACAAAAACTGTGCATATAGTATTTATATAAAAATCCCATGGATTTTAGCCTCAGTTCAATACCAATCAAAAAGTACTAATGAATAGAGTCCGTTATTAAATATGCATTTATAGCTTGTTTTTTCTACAACTAGATATAAGCTTTAGAGCAGGGGTATCCAACCAAGGCAGCTTTAAGACTTGTGGACTTTAAATCCCAGAGTTCTTCAACCAGCATGAGAGCGGTCTTAAAATTTTTAAGGTCTTAAAATTGCCAAGGTTGGCCATTCCTATCTAGACTGTATAAAAGGCAGGAAAACAAATGTGCAAGAAACTATATATATTCCCTTCCTCATGCTTGCCTTCCTAGCTGAGCAATCAGAGTCACTCTTTTTCTAGTAAGATAAATATTTCAGTACTCTGAAATGCCTTATAAATTGCATAGTTCTATGATTCCCACTGCTTTTCTTAGAAGAGGCCTTGTCTGGTGAAAGTTAAGGATTGAATAACTCAAAAACTAAGTCTAAATTCTGAAGAGAAGTTTATTATAGAAGATGACTATCTTACATATAAAAAGCTCTAAAGGTTTCCCAGTTTGATTAAATGCCTCATCTAATCCCATTTATTCTTTCCCAGCGGGCTAATATAAAGCCTAGTTCATAGTCATAAAATTATGATTCAGGATCTCATGCTGTTCTTCAACCCTCACATTTGGTTGCTGTTCCTCTGCTGCCATCTTTCTGTATCACATCCTGTTGTTTCCTATAGAAGATTCATATTTTGTTTTGTGCTCACATAATCTATTTTAGAGATATGCTTCAATTTCATTCTGCCTATAATATATAATCCTACACCAGATTATTTAGAATTAGGATTTATTGAAGTCCGTACCTATTTCTGTAAACCAATTAACAAGATATGTTAATTATTTAAAAGGTGCCATAATGTAAGAATTTACAATGTATTCAGGTAGAAAGTAGGCACTTTTTAGACACGGCATTTTCTTCTGTCTTTCATACAAAATGTCTCTTTTATGGGGCTCCCTGTTACAACATATTTTTATATAAAGATCAACAAACAATGTTTCTTCTTCAAAGTACTGTTCTTCCTAAATGCCTACATGCATTTATTAAAATGCTTGCAATAATTCTGTGGCTTCTGGAATAGTTCTTCCCTCTTATTTTTCACATGACTTAAAAATCCAATAATCCCAGAAAAGACTTCATGTGGGGATATAGGAAGAGTTTAGATACAAAACTATAAGAGCCAGTTTGATCTAGTGCTTAAGGTACCAGGCTAGAAATTAAAAAAAAAAAAAATCTGCAAGTTCTAGTCCATACTTAGGCATGAAAAACTGGTTGGGTCATCTTGGATCAGTCCTTCTCTCTCAGCCCAGTGCACCAAATGGGGTTTGCTTTAAGTTACTTACAAAGTAATAAAGATGGAAGCATAAGATCTAATAAAAAAAATCTAAGCTCTCTGCCCCAAACTGGCCAAAAAAATAGGATTGTTTTAGAACTGATTACTCATATCCTATTGCTTGCAGAGGAAAAAGGTAATAATAATCACACACCAAATTTAACAATTGTTGATAATAAAGACAAAATAAACTGGATAGTGGATGTGGCAGTACTTAGATACAGTAGAGTAGAAGAGTAAGAACTGGAGAAGATAACAAAATATAAATACCTGGAAATAGAACATCTGCAGCAAACAAAAGCAAAGGTAGTACCAATTGGGTGCAATCTCATTTGAACATCATTTAAACACCACCGACGTTGACAAAATCACCATCAGTCAAAAGGCAACTTTACTTGGAATAGCTTACATTCTACAACAACATATTTAACACCATCAAACAACAACATCTCCCTATCCCAGGTCCTTGAGAAGAACTCGATAGGTAGATAAAATTTTCAAATCCAATCTAAACATCTCATGGACTGTGCAACAAAAAATAATAATTTAATATACTATGTTATATTTATAATAATAAAGGCCTGATAGCGATTTCACATTGTTGTGTATACAATAATAAACACTTAATATTATTAAACAACAACATTTCCTATCCTAGGTCCTTGGGAAGAATTCAATAGGGGAATAAAAATGCCAAAAATCTACTCTAAATCTGAGAATGCTGTGTGACTAACCATAATAATAAGATACAGATTGCTGTCACAGATATTTAATGTTTATGCAGTTAAAATATTTACTCAAAATTTTCTTCAGATTTAGTAGAATATATTACCATTACTATTCCAGATTACACAATTATTTTTTTTACTTTGTAGTGGCAGTCCACAAATTATAACAAGATTTAAAAGAGTGACTCTTATAAATTGTGTCTTCTATTCACTAAAAACTGATTTGTGGATGTCAGTTGTAAGAACATGTCATGTATTTCCTAATTAAGGATTGTTTTATTTATTTAAATTAGGCTTAGCGGGCTTTTTGGTCAAACTATAAAATACTTATATAAAATAATATAATTCAAATAAAGCTTAACATTTTGCATAATCTAGTAAGTGAATACAATATACTAATTTAGAAGAAAAAATCGTGAAGAGGTGTAAATACTTTGGATTCAATATAAAAAAATGAGTAAAAAATATAGCCCTTTTCCATATTCACAGACAAAACAACTGACAATCATTGAAAACAAAGTTCCAGAAATAGTCAATGCCTTTCAGCACATCAATTAACAGAGAGAGCTGTCGCTCTCTTTTGTTTTTTCAGTACTGGCATCTTTACGAAGCTGTTGACCCTTGTTTTCAGTCATGTTGCCTTCATCCATAACTTTAGGCATTTGTTCTTTGATTTTCTCTGGGTTGAATAGTACCATGAATTCAGCTTGCTTTTCTGCATCAACAACCTTGTTTTTAAGCCCTGCATTCCTGGATGACCTAAAAGGCAAATTTAAAAAAAAACAAAGGGAATATTACATGATTTTTTAAATATAAACAACAATCAACCAGCTAGTTACGGTCTTAACACGTGTTTGATATACTATCACAGTTTATGAATCTGTCTTTCATACTGCACACCCACAGTAATTGTCTTCTCACACAATTTCCATCTACGGTAAGTTGACAAACTGAACAGAATGTTAACACCATCTCAAAACATTTATTAACACAGTATAAGAAATGATAGTTTACTGTGAGGAGGAAAAACTACCGCAAAGTTCAACCATTCAATAGCTATTGCTACTTCTTGTAAATGAAATCAGTGAATATAACCAAACATCCTAGATCATTTTTCCTAGCAACTAACAAAGATAGTACAAGTCTGCCTATGAATTTCCTCTTAGTAAAAGGCAAGTCATTAGAATCCAAATATAGTAAGTAGTCCATGGGTTGGCAGCAGTACTGGTTATAATATGAACTTAAAAATGGCTGGACTAAAATTGGAAATATTCGGCTAATCATTTTTTTTTTTCAGAAAAAACATTTCCAGCATAGCACACTCCCATTGGGACTCCAAGCCAACCAGCAGAGCCAGGTTTTAAGACCCTTCTAGAAGGGCAGAAGGATGGAGGCACATCTCACCTCTGATGGCAAAGTACTTATTGTCTATTATGCCTTGGAAGGTGATTCTTTCTTAAACAGCATGCTTAACCGCTAAATATGTTCTGGATTATAAGCATTATTTGCCAATGACAAAATTATAAATATTGTAAGAATCATTTAAAATATAAGCTAATTTGCAATTTTATTTTGAAGATCTAAACAGAGATTATTACATTACATAATGCAGTAGTAAATCACAAATACTGAAAATGCAAGGATTTTTGGCATTTTTTCTACAAGCCAGGTAGAATAAAGTCATGTGTTTTTATTCATTTAGAACAATAAAATCTTGCAGTGTGTCATGCTAAGTGAAGTCCTGCTGATTTCCATGATGAATTTTGTATTACAGAGGCAAATGTCTTCAATAAAAATGAGAATTTCATGAACAGCAAAAATGTTATTTCTCTTTTGTAATATTCATGATTCAAACTATATATCCTGCCATCTAACACATGAGTGTGAGACTAATTAGTTCAGGAACTGGCCTCTGACAGGTCCAGTTAGCATTTCCAATCTGCAATTGTTCAGACCCAAATTGTATAGAGCATTTAGCCTTGTTTTTTTGTTTCTCCTGAAAATGGAAAGGGAAATATGTTTAACGTTATAGTGAATGAAAGTTTGGAAATGACATGACGACAAGGCAGTTATTTTAGAAAATGCTACCTCCAAAATGCTGATTGCCACAACACTATCAAAATGGACAAAGCCATAAATGCCAAGGTCCTTTTTATTTCACTTTGGAGGTAACTATCTTTCAAATCTCAACAGCTGGACTATTTAACACAATCGAGTGAATCAGAGTCTAATTCTTCACTGGGCTCTCCATGGGAGGCCTGCATTAGTGGATGGCAGTCATCCAACAGCTGACACACAGCCAAAGTCTGTGAAGCCTCTGTCATTTAAAATAAAAATGGATAACAGAGCAATCATATTTATCACCTTCAAGGACAGGAAAACGGGAGATGAAAGTCTGTCAATAGAACACAGTTTAATGGCAAACTCCAGTGATTAATAAGTTGTTTGTTCCAGCACAAAATCAGAAATTGCAACTTAGGGTTTCTTCCGTTCTCCTTCCTCACAAATACATATATTTTACACAACTGCTGTTATTTATTGAGGTAATAATATTGTTAAAAATCATAAAATCTGTCCAGGGACTTTACTGCTGATTTATTACACAGTATCTTGAACTGAAATTTGGCAGAGTTATTGTTGTGCAAAATAGATTTCCAAATTCTATAACAGAGCAACAAAGCACAACTACCCTATGAAGCCTTGTTACAATGAATAGGATTTGAACAAGACTGGATAAGGGCGAGTTTCAGTCAGTTCTTAATTCTTTCCATAATAGTCTCAGTGGTGTTAAACTGCACTGTGCCACTCCAGATTAACTCTTGGTCCAAATTAAATGATTGTTTTATGTTAAAAAAGCTACTTCTATAAGCTATTTTTATTGAAAAACCAAGAGGAAGGGAAATGATGAATTCTCTTTCAATCTGCTGCCCTCTATTGCTGTGAATGATCAGACAGGCAGCTCTACCTACTATGTATTCACTCTTGTGATAACCAAAAGTCTGCTGCCTTTAAAAAGTCCAATTTTACCTCTTTAACAGTTAACTATATATTCCTTTTTAGCAATAATAGAATTTGTGGTTCTCCTGCTTTTGTCTTGACTCTGGGAATGCCAAAACAGGGATTCCAGGATTCCAGCAGGATATAGGGGTACTAAAGTACACAGATTCCCTCATGAAGATGACATTAGATGAAATCTCATTTCAGTCATCTCCAATGCTCCAAATCCAACAGCATATTACTACTGTATTATATGCTCTGGGTTATTTAAATAATGACCAGACAGCCACAAATAAAAGTCTCATTCTTCCCATCCCAGTGATTCCATGTTTGTTCCAAGTAACTAAGTAACTGCATATCACTGACACATCATTTTATATAAATCACTGAGAAGCCATGTCAATGATTCCTGTTGTGCTAAGAACTGGATAACAATCCATCTCTAGTGCTAGAAGGGACATAATCAAAATGCTTGTTCGATACTTTAGCTTGACGAAATAGTCATGTGAATTCTTATTCCAAGATCACTTGAACAAGAAAACATAATAGTAAGACTTTGACTTGCCCAATTTTAAAGCATTTTTCTGCTGTAGCCAAATGAATTCACTTATTTTGCAGTTCAAAGGGCAATTTTTTTTTTTAAAAAAAGGAAGATTCTAAACTTCCAGTTCATCTTGTTGTATCTTTATAATATGTTGTTAAGTCTAATGGTCCATGTGGAGACTACAGATGGAAAACCTTTGTAGTTGTGTCTCTTAGACTGGGCTGTTTCCTGCAGTGTCAGTAGATAATTCAGTAGTGCTAAGGTTACAGCTGAGGGAAGGAAAGAAAATCCTTTAATTGTATAAAATCATCAGATTAAGTCTTACCCTGTATGTAGTTTGTTCTGTTAACTGAGTCTTCTACTATATGGAATTGTTTACTTAAAAAAGGAAGAGAAATATACCCTTCTTCCATTTTTTAAAAATGCCATAAACTGCCCCAATTTATTTCAAATATAATAACTATTGATATCATTTATTGTTTCGAATTATTCCCCAATATCCATACTGTGCGATAGGCTGGGAAGAGATAAGGCACAGTCCAAAATAGCCAGAGTGCTTTCATGGCTGAGGATGGATTTCAGACATCAGATTCCTTTATTAAATATTTTAATTTAGCCTTTGTTGGCTCCTTTTTCATTTTTTTTTTTTTAGTCTTTCTGTCCCAAACCTCCTCCTCTGCAGTTAGGAATAATAACTGAAACTAAGTTCAATAGCATGACCCTTTTCATGAATCAATGCAACTATGATTCCTTTTTTAAGAAGGAGACAACTAAATATAAATATTTTACACATTTGGTACATGAGTGAAGTTTTACATAGGTTCCCTGTTCCCTTCAAAAGGGAAGCACTTTAGAATATGTTTCAGAGAAATAAAAATGATCACACGGCCCTTCATAGCCATTAAAACAATACAGAGCATTATGTTGACCTTGGCAGGAAGAATGGATGATATGGCAAAAGACCTCTTCATGCCTGTTGCTTACAAAGCAACAGACCGTTCCTGTCTCATAGTTCTATTAAGAAGGAAGACAACTTAATTACCAGATCTGATAGACACCTGAGGTAAACATGAACAATTCCTCCTTGGTCTGTTTAGAGATTTCCACAAAGTGAGAATGCACAGTGCTTATTTTAATTTAACACTGCAAAGCTTTTTCAATATTTTATGTGACCCTGCTCAGGGTAGGGCAGAATCTGGTGGAATTTCAGCACTCTGGGTTACTTACCTTTTATATGTTTCTACCTTGCACTGATACATATAGACACCTCCCCCCCCCAAAGGAACTAAATATGCAAGGTGTCATTCAGTCTTCCTTTTAAAACATCAAAGATTCCACAGCTTCATGGACTCACTCACCTCTATCTTTTTTAGAACAAATCTTACCTCTTGTCCTTTCTATTGGCAGCAAATAACTTATTACCATAGGAATAATAAAGAGGGCTACTTATCATCAGCCTCTCAGGAATAACAGCATGTTGCCATTTAATCCCATGCTCCAACATAGTAATCCTATCACTTTTATTGGATTTAAGTGTGCATAAGGGCAAAAGACTGCCATTAAATCTGACTAGTCCTTGCATTAGCTTTTGCCATACATTGCATATTTTAATCCAACTGAATTAGAACAGCCCTATATATTCTATGTTTCTATGCATACAGATAGACTGCAATTTATGATGACAATTGGGACTGGAATTTCCACTGCTATCCAATGTGGTCAGCAACATCATGTGATTTCCCTTGCTTAGACAGAGTAATCCTGGCAGTTTCAGTTACCATCAAAATTCCAAACTCGCGGGCGGTTAAGCAGGAAGTGGGAGGAATCTCACGTAAGGAGTGTGAGAGTGCGATGGGGAATGAGGCAGGTCCCAGGAGGCCTGGGACAGTATGTATGCATGTTGGGGAGCGGGTGCAGTGTGGCACAAGCTTAAGGAGGCTGGAGAAAAAATACTCTGTGGATTGGGGGTTGCTTTATATGCTGGAGTTCTAGGACTGCAAGAACTGCAACTATTCAAGCAGGACCCTATAATGCAGTGGAAAACCACCACTTTCTGGGAAACCACAGCCTTCCTGGCCACCCTCATAACTTGCATTCCTAGGCCCTGCTGCCCTGCACTCCATTACCTGGTTGACCCTTGCTGTCTTCTTGCTCCCACTGCCAATGAGATGTGCCCGGTCTGGCTCTTTGCGAGACAGCTGCTGGCCACATAAAGCCATTTTTCCCAGGTCTCCTGTGGGCCATGGCCGCAAGCTTTGTGTGGCCAGCAGTTGCCTTGCGAAAGACCCGCTGGGCATGCTTGGTCAGCAGCAGGAGAAAGAAAACAGCAAAAGTCAGCTAGAGCATCAGGGCCACAGAATTTAAAATGGGAGATCAAGGACACAATTGTGTGGGGGGGGGGAGTTGATATGCCCAAGGTCAGAAATGCAGATGGGCCGCCAAGCGCCTGAATTTTGATCACATGATCTTAGGGGCACTGCAACAGAGGTTACTTTGAGAACCAGTCATAAGTCCTTTCTTTCAACACTGCTGTGATCTCAGTCAGTCCTAAGTCAAGGACTATCTGTAGTTTTGTTCTTTTTGTTTGTTTGGTTGGTTGATTGGTTTAAAGAGCAGCCATTGTAATGTTGAATGACTCAAGCTCATGAGGTGGAGTACTTCTTTCCATCTGCCAACACCTCATCTTTAATGTAAAACAACTATAAAAAGAAAAAAAGAATCATATATCATAAAGATCTCAGTGCAGGGCAAAGCTTTGTTGAACAATCTACTGCAAAACCTGACTCAAGTTTTTTAAAAAAGGAAATTCTATCCTATTTTGAAAATAGTTTGCTTATTGCTCTCATACATTATAACATTTTGAAGTGCCACATATTTATTGCATGTCGGCTATGCCAAAAGGAGGCATTATAGTTTAATGGAACACCCCTGTCCATTTGTACAATGAAAAGTTCACAAAAGCAACCTTCTCTATTTAACCAACCACAAAATATGTTAAAGTGATCATATCTCTTTTTTCCTCATGTCCATTTTGTGAAACATCTCTGCCCTAAGCAGCTTGGACATTGAATTAGCCACCTTGCTTCAGGGAATACTACTGATTTTCAGATGCAAACAGTCACAGGTCCTGATGTGATCTGAAAACGGACAAAGCTAATATTTTAAAATGGAATTCCCTGATTTAAAGACAATAACCAAGGGATCCTTAATTTTAAATGCAATTACAGTACATTTAAATTATTAAATTATTAATGCTAATACGTCATGCATTAAAATCAAATTTATTTGATTTTTAAATCAAATAAATATTTAAATTGTTTACTTAAAAGGTTAACACAGACATCATAATGTGCAATTTGTACAATGTTGCAGAGCTACTTATGCTAGTGTTTGCTTTAAATCAAATAGGCATAAATCCACAATCTGTTGCAAGTAAAGGAAATGCAGGAGTTGTATTATCCTTATCAACAATTACACTGCATGAGTTAAAAAGAATACATTTCTTAGCCTGTTACCTGAGATACTTTCATTGGAAATGTAAGAACTTGGATTTTTTATATACAAAATAAATGTTGTCCTATTCAAGTAGAACTTTCTATGGTTTCTTCTATAGTCATCACTAGTCATTCCTGAACAGCATAGCCAATTGCCCTAGAAGTTGGGAACTGATGCAGCACATTATTGTTTCCTCTATCCAAAGGAGATTATGGATTTTTCACAAACTGCTTGCTTTGCTTCTTATAAAAAGCATCATGCTAAAGAGAGACTAAACTGCCCTCTTTTAGTTAAGAAAGAAAGTCTGCAAGAAACTTGTTTTACACACACACACACACACACACACACACACCATAACGAACTAATAGAGCCTATTAAGAGGACTTTGGAACTACCGTAGATAGCTTAAGAGCAGAACATCCAGGTGTTATTTATTGTCCAAAGAAACAAGAGTTACAAATTCTTATGCAAAGAAATGCTCCCAAATAGCAGTGCAACTTCTCTATATTCAAAGCATCCTTTCTACCCTTGAAAAACCAATCTCTCCCTCCCTCTGTCGCTCTGTCTGTCTCTCTCTTCTCTTCCATCTCTTGTATCATGCATTTTTAGATTATGATCCTAAAGGCCAACCTTTTTTTTGTTTTGATTTAAGTGGTTAGCTTTAATAGGAGTAGGAGAGGCCAGTAGTTCACAAAAAAAAAAAAAACAGCGGATATCAGTTTGGATAGACATTACCTAATTGGTTTTTTTGCCATACTAATTTCATTTTAATCTGTACTGAACAAATGTTCAGTGTAAGAGCTTTTGTAATATTCCAGAAACCGCTACAGGATCAGGTATATACTTAGGTGTTTATACAAGTACTTGATATGATTAGGCAATCCGTACATTATACTGTTTTAATCTCAAAGGATATGGATTATGATATTTAAAAAAAAATTCTGGAAAGCAGATTAACCCCAAAGGTTCTTTTTTTTTTTTTGGCTGCTGCTGAATAGACGGCTGTATACTAAACAAAACATCATGTCTGCTTTTACTGTATCTAACAACTATGATAGTCAACACACGATCCTTTTGACAGTCAATTCACCACTCATTCTGGGAGACCTTGGGTCTACAATTATTTCATTTCCTCCCTTGCAAATGTAATTTCCACTTTGTTTCTTAGAATAAAAGATAGACAAAAAGGTAGCAAGGGTAGCAGAATATACTGATTTAACATTATCCATTCAAAGAGGCGGAAATCTATAGATGACCAATGCTGTAGTTCATAGGAAACAAAAATCAAGCCGGATCAGAACTGAATTGCCTTTTATATGGTTCAAAAGTGGTTAAAAATGCAGTCCTGTCAAATTAAAGAAATTTAATCAGAAAGCTAAAAAAAAAAAAAGTAAAGGAATTTTTTTTTTATCAGACAGTACTGATAATCAGAAAGGGAGATTTTCTTTTAACACCCAAATTTAGAAGCAAATAAAATAAAACCATAAAGGGAAGTGGCAGAGGAAATAACTCCCTTTTCTTTTCTACAAATAATAAAAGCAGTGCACATAAATAGAAGTGAATTGAATTTCCACTTCATTTGTTGAGGTTTACCCCTTTGAACTATGAGATGCAGGCCTTGGAGAATAGGTGTTCCTTTTTCTACTGATAAAGCAGGAAATCAGAGGTTTAATTAACCATTATTATAACATTTGTCTCACCTATTTCTTTTTTCTTTCAGTGATAAACTGCCTGACATCCTGGAAAAAGGACCAAATGAAAACCTGAGAAGAGTTTCTTAAAAGCTGTGAATTGTTATAAAATAAACTGACCCTCGACCGGATCCATCTGAAGTATGTATTTCTGAAGAGGGATTAACTCTTTGATGATAGAGCAGCACTTTGAAAGAAAATGTACAGTCAGGTAATACCTTGTCCAACTGTACTAAGGATTTATTCAACTAAACAGATGGAGGCTTCAAAGTGTTGTATCCCAACAACTTCAACTAGTTCAACACCCCGAATCCCACTGATTAAGAGTTGTTTCGACAGCTGCACCTTAAGCTGAGAAAATATTCGTCTTCTTGGCAAATGTATACTTTGCTGCAACCAATGAGATAATATTGCTACTAAATGTCCAATTTCAATTAGAGTCCTTGTATTATTTAGGTTAAGCAACTATCATGGCTGGGGATCAGTATCCTGGTAACTGAAATTGCAGTTGTTCTTTCAAAGTTCTATATCTTTCTTAATGTCAAAAATGAGGAATGCACCTCAAAAAGCTGGCACAAATAGAAGATTTCATAATGATTTGGAGTGATTTCAATATCCCATTTCTGGGGCTGGAGACAGTGTAGGAATTCATGGTTGCCATGATGATCATGGCCATGTGCCCAGTTATTACCAGCCCGATATCTGGCCACAATACTGGATCTGGGCTTCATACTGGGGCAGATAAAATATTATCTGGTTCTGGGGAATTCCTTATTGTAGACCTTGTACAAATAGATTAATGGGAGCCACCAGTCTCCATAGTGAGGAGCAATCAAGAAGGCCTATCCCACAACCTGATGGATTCAGAAGATTTTCAAATGGTATCAGGCCTTTGAAGTAGAGCAGGTTAAGAAATTGACAAGAAATCCCAGGAATGCTCTATTAGGATCTGGATACAGAGAAATAGACTGAACAACATAAAATGGCTGTTAATTAGATGCCTACTGATTCTTGAACAGTACTACTTTAACTCTTGATGGGGCAATGCTCCTCAAAGAGAGCAAGTCCTTTATTAACTTGAGGTTCCTCCTGCACTCATACCTGCTGCTGGAAGAGTAAATAAAAACAGTAGCCAGGAGAACATTTGTTCAACTTTGGTTGGTACACCACTTGCAGTCTTACCTGGAAAAGAATGTTGTGAGGATGTTCACTCAAGTTCTCATTTAGATTACTGAAATTACTGTAATTCATTGTACATGGGGCTGCTCTTGAAGACCATCAGAAATGTCAACTGGTGTAAAATGCAATAGCAAACCCAACTATTACTTTTAAAATTTCTATGTGCACGGATGTTAGGTTTACTTCATTACTATTATGTACATGTGAACCATTATGAAATTTCATTGCCTTGAATAAGATAAGGTTTCAAAAATATCTAAAAATTATTACAAATAAAATAGTTCATAAACTCTGAAGTGTGTAGCATTTGGAGACATCAACCAAAGGTATTACTTACTGAGTGACAATTGCAGAACTTGTGCTTTTTACCATTTTATGACTCTGTTCATCCAGCATTGAAGATTTGCAACTGAAGTTTGCTGCTAAATATTTTTTAGTCAATTCTGATTCTGTTCCAATGGAACCCAAAACTGGCATAGATTTAGATTCAGATGTAGCCAAAGTTCCAGTTGGATCTGAAATGAAGAAAAGTCCAGCATTTGTATTACATATTGTTGGCTTAGCTCAAATCTCTAAATACCTTTAAATAATGCTTATATTGGGCATAAAACTATGGATCATTTATTTCATTTCTAATGTTCAGATCTCTTGCTAATATATTCCCAGTTGACATCTGGGAGTTTAACCTCAGGAATAAGATAGGAATAAGATTCAACTGTATAATTCACTATTTTTGCCAAGTGTCTAGATACACTATATAAATATTGTGAAGAAAGGAACATGCTTGTAATCAAATAGAGCTTTTTCTCCAAAGTTAGAGTCATGACCATAGCTAAAGACTAATTAGAGCAGGTACTTTGAGGTTTACCTGCAGCCAGTATCCTTTGACCACCTTTGACCATTCCTACTCTTATCAAGAGATACTGCTTTAGAAGAGTGGTTAATAAAACTCAAATCAATGGACCACACAGAACATATTTTCTACAACCTCTTGTCAATCTGAACTACATATTCCAATGAAGATTATCTGTTATTTCTATAAAAAAGAGGCACTATTTTTTAAAAATGTAGTAGTTGAAAAAAGTTTTGTTTGCTCTCGTCTACACCAATGTTCATCGAACAACATGCAGTTTTCACTTTCTCCCTTCATGCTTGCATTATTTGGATATGCATGGTAATGGATCAGGGAAATGGAGGAGAGGACATGTTTGCACTTACACCTATTATTGGAAAAAAACAGAAAACCTATTTCCTGACTACTTATTTTTTTATTTGCCATTGTTCAGGACAACACCTTCCTAAGATGGTTTAATAGAAACAGCAAAAACCTACAGAATGCAACAGTTCTGCATAGCAATTTGCATAAAATAAAGTTGAAGATGGTGTGGAATGTGGTCGTTAAGTTGCTGAATGGGACACCTAGCCCTGAAGATGACATCTTTATTGAAGAAACTGTACTGGTTAAAAACTGGCTACTAAACCTGGTGCAATATTTTGATTATGATACATAGTGAGACCAGGACATCAACAGATTGCCTATCCCATTAGATTATAGTCTTGGTTGATTGCTGAGGTATTGGGGACGATCCTGCTAAACATGCTGAGAACTTCTGAATGCTATTTGATGGCTTGTATTAGCAGCCCTCTTCTGGAGCAATGCTCTTTTCTTCTTCCTGAAATTTAAGAAGTGCTTTCTACATTACATTTAGGCAGCTGCTGAAAGCTTAACCTGTCTCCAGGTTTCCCCAATACAAATGCAGACATATTTTTCCATGTTTTCCTCCATATTTTAATGAATTTAAATGTAATGGTTTCACACTATATTAAGTATTGTTCTATTATTTATTTTACTTTATAATTAAAAACTGCTTCAAAATGTTTCAGCATAAAGATTTACTAATTAAATAATGCAGGAATAATAAGGATACACGAGAAGGAATTTTACTGATCATTGAAAAGATATTCTATCCAACAATAGTCAATCTGATTATGCCAAATTTACAAAAAAAAAGGCTTTTGAAGAATATCTCAATGGGAGACATATTTGTATAACTGCAAGCAGCCCTTTAAATTACCAGTCCCAAATGATTTAGAACTATGTTGTTTTAGAAATGTTCTAAATATATTATATCATATGTTAATGTTCAGGCCACCCTGACATCCCTTTGTTATTGTTAATATGATATCCAACTGTTAATGTATCTGCTCATCTTATGAACTGAAAAAGTTCATACTGAAAAAGTCACAGCAGCTTTTATCTCAATGTCCAAAGGAGTAGAAGCTTGCTTAATCTAATAGTTTACTAAGCAATACTATGATGTTAAGAATGCAACTATTATGAGAACATGAATTAGCTGGAAATATGATCAGAGCTCTGCCAAGTAATGAGGATTTGCATATTATAGTTTCATAAAAAAACATAATCAGTGATGTACTATTGAAAGTGTAACATAATCCAGTTGCAGTTCTGAAAACATTACTTACTGCTACTATCTTGATCAGTTGTCACTTTTCTGAGCCTCAGAATTCTTTCTAATTCTGTTTCATTACCGTATGTGTCAAGGGATTTTAAACTTCTGGAACTTGCAGATGTGTTCAAAGTTTCCTGTAATAAAATATGTCAGTTAAAAATGACCAGTATAAGAATCAAGATAACTTAATGACAATTGTAAATAAACCTCACACCATCTATTACTAAGGTATCTTCTAAAATTATAGACCAAGTTATGGGGGCAGCACAAAACATCTTACACATACAGTATGCAGTCTGGATTATGCCTACATTCTCTTGAAAATGACTATGGGGAAAAAATGAAAACACAGGATATAATGTTTAAAATTGGCACATCTTTAAAGACTTAAGCAAAACAGCATTTAATTCCCAATGTTTCCTCCAATTAAGTTAAATCTTGCATTTTGTTAGTTCTTTGAATTTAACAGAGCAGTCATATTATTAGCAAATCAGTTCTTGCTATTGTGCTCATGCTACAGATCTAGTAGCAAACCAAACAGAATAAGCTGTTTTACATCACACTTGAAATGGAACAAATTAATAACACTTTGTTTACCTCAATTATACAGAGGCCAACATAAAATGCATAATTAGCACAGTAACAATATACATATAAGTATTTTGCTAATGTCCCCTTATCCTATTCTTCCCATCTCACTGTGCTAATGACTAGGCTTGTGAGCGTATTAGAAGTTGGTTTTATAAAGTGCTCTTTTTAGTTCTAGTGCAGAAAGGATGTACAAGTAGCAGATTAGATCTTATTATAGCTAGTACTAAGATCTTATTCAGTCTACAGGCTGAAGACTTTAGATGGAAAGGGGGTACCTACATTCTTTCGGGTGAAATTAAAAGAGACACCCACACATCTTATGATATCTATCTGCATCTTTTTTTTTTTTTAGCATATGCCAAATATCACCAAAGTTTTACCAGGAAAAAAAAAATCACAGTTGGTGTCCCTGCCTCTTTCCATTCCATTTCCACCCCATCCCTGCTAGATCCCAGTCCAATTTACCAGTATTCCTTTTAGCTCTTTCACCGCACTTTCGCCTGGTTTGGCCATTTCTGGCTGTAATTAAAAACAAAACATTCATCAAGATAATCTAATTTTGCAAATGCTAAATAAAATAAGAAAGAAAGAAAGAAAGAAAGAAAGAAAGAAAGAAAGAAAGAAAGAAAGAAAGAAAGAAAGAAAGAAACTACATCTACAGAAAGAAAAATAAAAATAGGATTCCACAAGAAAGTGTCTATTTTGAGGTATAAGGTTTTGGAATGTAGCAGTTATATCTTAAATAAATCGTTAATAGAATAAAGTTAGGCAGGAAAAAGAAAAGCAGGCAGAAAGTTGGGTAGGATTTTTTTTTATAGTTTGGAATATTTTTGATTAAAAAAAGAATGTTCTAATACCTTGTTCAAGTATGATTATATTTAACTGTAATAATACAGAATGAATCACAATACTGATGGTTTCCATTCTCCCCTGAAATTGAACAAAATCAACTTCTTTTCTTCACAGTCAGCCTATGAGTCAGTTGAATTCTGACAGTCAGACAGGTGACTGTCAGAATTCACATTTTTTAAAACAGTAATATCTATAAGGTTTCTAGTTAAACAAGTGAAGTCATTTTAAGCATACATCTATTTTTGCTACATATAGTTTACTCTATATGTGCTAGGAGCTGATCCAGCTACCAGGATTAAGACATTGTATTCTGAGTATTAAAATCTTATTCAAATCTAAGGATTCTCATATCAGAAAAGGGAACCACATGAATTGGTTGGTGGTATGTTAATATTGATGACCCTATCTCAGTCTAAGAAGTAATGACATAAAACCTTGTCATATTAACATAGCAGATCACAGCAGATAGGATATTCATAAAAAGAAAAGTTCAGTTATAGGAATTATAAGAAGGTGATAGTCAATTTCTATAGATCCCTCTCCTTCATTTTTATGTAAATTATTATCTACCAACCTTTCCCCTAAAACGATTGGTTTGATTAACTGGTCTAAGGTGAACTCCTTTTTTAATTCTGTCCATCATTTCTTCCACAGCTTGTCTCTTCAGATCTGTTACTTCTCCTGTTCCCAAAATAAAATAAAAATAGTAAATGTGTCTACTTGCAGATAAGCTTGTGTCATTCATAATTACAAGCTCAGCTCTTTGAACATACAGTAACTAGAAGGACCCCTTAAATTTGAATTGAAACTTTAATGGTAAAAATTCAAATAATTTGGTGCACTTGCAACAAAGGCAATGATGTTGGCAAAAAATATGAAGTCACAAGATCAAATAGAACTGAAGAATGAAATGGGTTTCGAGATTGAGAAGAAGATAAAATACTTGGATATTAGTATGACAAATATGAATTTCATGTTGTTTCAAAATAATTACATTAAGATCTGGAACAAAATTAAAAAGACGTGAAGAGGGGAAAAACACAGTTGCCATTGTTGGTGAGAATTACTGTGATTAATGTCTTGTCTTGAATGGTAGTTCAAGATGATACCAGTTTTGACATCTGATGTACCACTTAAATAGCGGCAGAAAGACATATCTAAGTTTGTGTTGCTGGGAGAGAAAAACATGAGTTAAATGTAAAATGTTACAAGAAAAAAGAGGAGGACTGGGCTTACCTGATCTGAAATTATATTTTACAATCTGCTTTTGGTCTGGATGAATGAATGCATGTTGCTAAGAAACAGGAGATTTTTAGAGTTAGAAGGGCATGATTTAAGATTTGGGTGGCATGGATATCTATTGTATGATGAAGTTAAGGTTAATGTAGATTTTAAAAATAATTTGTTAGATGTGTCATATTAAGAACATGGAATCTGAAAATACTTTTGTGGCTCTCAGCACAGGAAGTATTTTATAGAAGAGAAATGATTACTAAACATAAATAGTTGACCTACTCTGCTGTATTAGAATTTTCTCAAGGAGAATATAGAATAAAAATAAAAGAACTGGCAACAGAAGAATGTTCTTGTCAGTGGTTTTTATATGTATAATTATTCAAAAGATTTAAAGTAGATAAAATAACTTGGTTTTAAACAAAGTAAGATTGAATTTGAAACAAGAACTGTACAAATGATCAAGTTATTGCTAAAATATATGAACTTTTTTTTAAAGAAAATATGAAGGTTCTCGGTTCAGTTGAATATCAATCTTTAAAATCCTCTGAATCAGTGACATGGATTCAATTTTCCTCAGGATTATTATCAGTCTAGGTTTTCCTTTCCTACTTGGAGTTTCTTCCTTTTGGCCAGACTTCAAGGAAGCATTTTGTATCTTAGTAATAGTGGTGGAAAGGTTTAGCTATATGTGTATCTAATTCTGTATTCTCTATATCAGTGGTGGTGAACCTATGGCACGGGTGCCAGAGGTGGCACTCTGTGGGCACGCACGCCGTCGCCCCAGTCCTAGGCCTTCAGCTGGGTTTTATAAAACCTTTTCGCTTTAGGCCTCCGCCGCCATGTGCAAAAAAAAAAAAAAAGGTTCAATCAGTCAATTTTAACTTCTCGCGGGAAAAAAAAAGATCTCGCAAAGTTGGAATTGATTGATTGAACTTTTTAGTCCCACCCAGTCTGCCGTTACCACTGCAGCCATGCCCACCCAATTGGCCACGCCCACCCAATGGGCCACACCCACCTGGCACTCGACGATGCATAAGTGGGTTTTGGGTTGCAGTTTGGGCACTCAGTCTCTAAAAGGTTCGCCATCACTGCTCTATATGATGAAGACTGTCTCTGAACATTTATGCCCCTTTTTTGCTACAACCAGAAACAATAAAATCTTCATCTATGCTATCTTTTTCCTTTATGTGGCAATTCAGGTGAAAATGCGAGTACAGAATGAGACTTTCTCACTTTCAGCCATATACTTATAACCTACTTATTAACCAGAAGACCAGCCAACTGGAAAAGATCAGGGTGTGTTTTATCCTGCCTTGTGTCAAGATAATTGAAGGGAATAGTAGTAGGAAAGTCATTTTACCCCTTCTGTATCTAAATCAAGCTTCCACAGGTAGTGCTCTTGTCCAAATGGAGGAAAGAATCCACTTGCCCTGAAGGGGACAATAGGCAGTTGAATTTGCTCTGTCTTGATGGTACTGCGAAACCCAGTGGGAAGATGCTCCTGACCAGTAAGAATAAGTAAGGCACCAGCAAGCACCTTGGGCCTTCCAACTGCCTGATCAGAGAAGAAAAACATCCACAAACAGCTTCTTATCTTGTCTTACCTTAAGACCTCAGTCCTAATTGTTGAAGGAGGAAAAAGAAGAAAGACATAAAAGATTCGTGGTTTTCTTTATTAAAGAGCTCATCGATATCTCTGTTATTCTATGAATGGGCATGTTAAATCTGGAGAACAGAGCCACTACCCTCTTTGGAGAAGCAAGAGACGCTTTCAACCTTGGCTGCCTACCCAAAGAAGTGATAACTTAAGAGGATATAAAAATATAAATGCTCATTTGGAATCCTGGGAAAATAATTATATAATTTCTTAGGAAACAAGTGCTTGAATTTAATTAGTGAAAGAAAAGAATTCCATCCCATCAGGAATAGAGGTAGACAGAAAAATCTTTTGCTTCTGGCAATTTCCAATATTTCCCAAAACAGAATGGAAGCCCTGATCCAAGACTTAAAGAGTACTATCAAGCAAAATACAAGATACAAACTACAAAGATACAGAAATCTAACATATCCTTCCCTCCTTTCACCACTCACCACTCTGTCGCTCCCTTTACTCTTTCCTTCATCCTCTCCAGAACTCAGAACACACTATCTTCCATCTCCCCTTCTCCCCATTAAATTTCTTAATTTACTCTTCAGCACACTTTTTACATCCATCGTGTTTTTTTCCTGCCCTATTTAAAACCCTGCAGCTGTCCAATCAGAATGGAAGTTGGGATATATATGAAAGCTTGGTGGGAAACTGTTAGCATGCTGAAGAGTAGCACAGGTTGTTTTATAGGGCAAATATTTGGCTCCTGGGATTGCATGTTGCTGTGTTGTGGATCCACAATAGGAGTGCTTTTCATTGCAATTCTGTTGTTTGCCATAACACAACTGCACAGAAAGAAGGATGTTCAGAGTATGATGCTGTGATTTCCTGATCGTTCATCACGAGGAATCAGTTGGAAGGAATCAAGCAGGCAGAAACAAGGTTACGCATACTAATCAAACACAGAAATTCAACTTGAGTATATTAGGTAGGCTGTACCTCACAGCAAAATCTTTCCCCTTGGGATTTAGAAATGTTCTGTTTTACATTTTTGGGCCCACCACAATTATTCATAGCAAACCCCCTCTCCCGCTTGTTTATATTGATTTTCAGTGAATAGGGATGTTCTTAAATTTTGTTTATTTTATTTAAGGTGCCTAGAAGACACAATATTGTGCAACTGCTATGACAAAATGATCCATTTAAAATACACTATACCTGATTGTTGGTGACAGGAAGCCTTTTCTTTTTTTGTCAAGTTGCTATTTGGATGAGATTTCTTACAAATCATTGACATCAGAGACCTTTCAGAAAGAGAAGATGGAGACAATCACACAACTTTATCTTGAACGTGACCCCAATACTTAAAGAGGTTTTTGGATCTTAACCACCTACAGTCCCACTGTCACAAGGGCATAACTACTTCTGGGATCGGGGCCTATTTCTATGACGTGACTGGCATTAACCCACAAACAGCTAGTGCTTCTATTAATAAGTGTTCAAACACTGCCAGGTTGAGACATAAATGTTGCACCTCCTAAAAAATACAGCTTGTGTATCATTTGTTTTGCTATTGCTCTTGTCAGGGCATAGTGAAAAACACTCAAGATGTGAATATTAAAAAGGTAACATGGCACTGTGACATGTGTGACAAAATAAAGCTTTTGCACAGAATAAAAAATTGAAGGGTTAGAATGTTAATGTGACACATTACTCTCCAGAGAACAATATTATCCAGCGGGATACCTCTATAATGTCCCCGCTTTTCTACAGTATGTGTTTGCTGGAACAGCCTACTGGTAAACAAACAAAATGAGAATGGAAAATAAAACCCTCACAGTATCCATGCTTGCCATTCAATCTCCAAAGCATGATATTAATTTTAAACAGGCGCTGCCAAGTCAATATTTAATAAAATATGAGGTGTTTGTTGTAATTTCTTTTCTTTTTTTTAAAGGCTCTTAAAAGGAAGAAAACATTGTTATTAAGTATGTGAACCAGGTTTCTTTGAGTATCATTCAAAATGTTAAAGAAAGGTAATGAATATATAAATCCAGAGATTTTGAAACATTCCCAGCAAAGATAAGTAGACTTTAGAATTGCGACAATTCTTTCAAAGCATAAAAGTTAACCCATGTTACAGTGTCATGCTGCTTACATTGAAATAAGCCAACATTTTTGTTTTCTATATTAAATAATTGGGAATGTTACATTTTAACCTATATTACCCTTTGCTACACATTCCTTCAAGGTTTGATCCAGTGACAAATGGATACAATATCCATTTTATATACATATACTGGATAATATAATAAATTTTATTGGTTTGTTTATTAAACTGATTTGCCACCCATCTTATTTTGAAATGACTCTGGGCAGCTTATAGCATTAAAAGCATTAAAATCATAAAAGATAAATATTTCTAAAATAATAAAAATGGAAATTACAATCAAAAGTAGAATTATAGGAGTAGCAGGATATGCTGGGGGAGGAATGTTTCTAGTACTTAGAAAGCAACCTATGCCCATTAAAGTGACTAGAATAATGCAGCCTGTAGCCATTATCACTTCCATTTAGAGAAATCCTTGCTATAAAACCTTCCTGATGTGATTCAACTCATATTTGACTTTTTTCCTATTCTCCCCTGTTTGTAGTATCTTGCCAGTAGGTTTGCTTGTGTACCTATGAAACCCAACTGCATTTATGATTGACTTATCTGAAGCAAGAACATTTTTACTTCCACTTCATCAACCATGTTCTGTCTATTAGTTAACATTAAATCAAGGACAGCTGATTCTCTTCTATGTCCTGAGGAAGGAAGTTTTCAGCAAAAGCAGTCAGGAATATTCATACCAAAGAAAGTTTGGTCCAAGCTAGGATCAGGGTAATTAGTTACCCATCACTACTATTGCATGCTTCTTTAAACAGTAATTATAAAACATTCACATCTGCTTTTTGATAGATTAGCCAATAGCTGGCACTAAGAGTAGCACTGCTTTCATTTCTCATTCTTTTTTTTTAACCTATATATTCTCTATAGCAGGCATGTCAAACCCGTGACATCATGTGCCGTATTGCGACTTTTCCCCCATTGCTGGCAATGGGGTGGACGTGGTTTTGGCATGACGCATCCGGCCCATGGGCCGGCAGTTTGACATGCCTGCTCTATAGTGTTGCCAAATTCACTCACCTGAATTTTGTGCAGGTGTGGTTACTTTTAACATACAGAGGCACTGCTAAATATCTATGGAAATTCTCAGTCATCCAGGTCCCTTTGCATTAATAGAAGGATAGAATCAAGATCACGTGAAGTGTTAATACCACTTTACAATGCCTTAGTAAGGCCATACTTGGAATACTGCATCTAGTTTTGGTCACCACAATGTAAAAAGGATGTTGAGACTCTATAAAGTGTACCAAGAAGAGCAACAAAGATGATTAGGGAACTGGAGGCTAAAACATATAAGGAACGGTTGCTGGAATTGGGTATGTCTAGTTTAATGAAGAGAAAGACGAGGGGTGACATGATAGCAGTGTTCCAATATCTCAGGGGAGGGAGTCAAGCTGTTCTCCAAAGCACCTGAAGGCAGGACAAGAAACAATAGATGGAAACTGACCAAAGAGAAAAGCAACCTAGAACTAAGGAGAAATTTCCTGACACTTAGAACAATTAATCAGTGGAACAACCTGCCTCCAGAAGTTGTGAATGCTCCAACACTGGAAGTTTTAAAGAAGAGACTGGACAGCCATTTGTTTGAAATGGTCTAGGGTTTCCTGTTGAGCAGGGGGTTGGACTAGAAGATCCTCCAAGGTCCTTCCAATTTTATTATTATGATTATTATTATTTATCCCAAAGGTGCTTTTTTTCACGAGGCAACTGAACTTTCTTGTTTTTCTTTGAAGACGTTTTGCTTCTCATCCAAGAAGCTTCTGACTGGATGGTGGGGAATGGAAGGTTTTATACTCCTGTAGACTGTCTTCATTTGCATTCTTTTAGTGAGTCGTTAAAGCTATCTGGAGGCTTATCTGCATCTTCAGGGTCACCTGAGTAATGCAAATGGGTGTGGAGCCTTCTTGGAACTATTGAAAGGACTGTGTAGACTGGAGATAGATGATGTCTGATTCCTCCCCCTCTGTTGACAGAGCTGTTCAATTTTGACATAGATGGCCTCTTTGACCCCTCTTTCAAACCAGTGGTCCTCTCTGTCCAAAATCTGGACTTTGCTGATGAACAGCTGTCTGCATGAGTATAAATCTTTCCTTCCCCACCATCCAGTCAGAGCTGAAGAAGCTTCTTGGATGAGAAGTGAAACGTCTTCAAAGAAAAACAAGAAAGTCCAGTTGCCTCCTGGAAAAAAAGCATCTTTGGGATACAGAGGCACTCTTACTTATTTTATATCAGCTTCTATCTCTCTTTTTCAAGCATGGATATCATCCTATCTGATATTCATTACATCCATGGTATTTGCCTTCTGTACTCAAGCTGTATGATGATCAAGCAGCAACAGTTCCAGTGACATATGGAACAACTAGATGATTCAAAATTGGTTGTGTGCCAAGGATGTACACAGTTATTTATTTATCATATATGGAAAATATATTATGAAAAATTCTGCAACTGAAGAAATGGAAAGTGGAATTAAAGTTGTCAGAAGAAACATCAACAATATGTTGATGATAGCATAGTGTGGTTGGAAGTGAGAAAAATTTAAGAAGTCTCTTACAAAATGTAAAGAAAAAATAGTGAATAACAATCTGCTGTTCAATCTTTATATCAATGGGCAATGCCAATCTTGTGTCAAATGACATAAGAGAAATTGAAACAATAGAGACTTTGTCTTCTTGGACTTAAGAATTCACAGGTATAATGAATCATACCCAGGAAATAAAGTAATGTCTGCTAGTTGGCAAAAAGACTATAGTATGACAAATTTAGATAGAATATTAAAGAACAGAGACATCACACTGACAATAAAGCTACATATTATCAGGGCTGTTTTCCCAGTTGTAACATGTCTGTGAAAGCCGACTTAACAGGAAAGCTGAACAAAGAAAAAATGATGCGTCTGAATTGCAGTATTGGAGAAAATTGTTGAGAATATAATGGACTGCAAGAAAAACCAGATAAAGTAAAAACAGACAACTCTTTGGGGACAATAACAATGAAATTACAGCTTAAATATTTTGAACACCTAATGCTAATAGAAGAGTACCAGAGGAAGCACAGATGTTTGGAAAAATTAAAGGCAACTGAAAAAAGGCCAACAGAAAACAAGGAGATTAAAAACCATCACAGAAGACATAAGTATGAAATTACCAAAACTGAAAGAAGCAGTTACTAACAAACGAACCTGAGAAAATGATGCTCATTGAAGTCCAAGGAATTGGAAGTGACTGAATTACAGGGCAAATGAAGTCTGCTTTGCTTCTTTCCAATACTCATTAGTGTTTATATACTGAGAGAGAGGAATTCTGTGACCTAATGTTTTTTACTGATTTTTCATTGAATGGTTGATTAGCTCTTATTTATAGTGACTCTCTCGCTTCCTTCTAAAACACAAAAGCCTTTGCCTGAGAGTCTGACTTTAGAGTTTTCACTTTAACCACCCCAGGATTCAGTTTAAAGACATCCTATCAAGTTCATCAGGCTTCAGCCAAACACATTTTCACCAGAAGCAATCTTATAAAGGAGCAATATACAGTATATTGATTGATCTTCCTAGCATGGGAAAATCCCTTCTATTCTTTTGTCCTGATCGGTGCAGCAAAGAATTTTTCAGGTTACAAGATTCTGGTCTCACTGAAAGAATCAAATCCACAAAAACCCCCAAATTTGTTAAGTAATACCACTGCTTAATAAATTAAGGGTTGCGGGCATTGGCATAAAGCCATCACTTGGAAAGATAGGCTTTATGCCAATAAAGATAACAACCCAAACAAACTCAAAACTTTCATTCTGGAGAAAGAAGAAACCCAAAAAGAACATAGCCTTGGTCTCCACCTCTGAGCAATTTTTCAAATTCCCTTTTTGGATCCACATTTCTTTTCTCAATCCTTGAAAGCACTAGTGTTACAAGAGGTGTCCTTTGCCTGAATACATATGGAATGTGTGCTTTTGGAGTAAAGATGCCAGGTTGCAAAGCATCCAAGTGGATCTTTTCCCATAGAAATATCTTTTACCACCAAGAACGGATGATGGCCTGCTTCGCTTCACCAGAGATAGATCAAATGAGCATCTTTGATTTTCTTGGGCACCAGCAGGCAACACTGGTCAAGCTGCCCCATTGTCTGAATTTTAGATGTG